AAACTCGGCATAGCTCGCGTGCTTTCTCCTTTTTTATTTTTTACAAAACCACCCACCACCCCTGCCAATCAATATTTTTTAATTATCGCAACCACTGAAGCCTCCAAATGAATTAAACGCAATTCTCGCTGAAATAAATGAAACAACATTTTCCGCTTCCCGAATATATTCAACCGCGCCGCCCGCCGCACGATCCTTTCTGACATATTTACGGAGGTATCACTCAGCCGCAACATGATTGGCATAAATATTAAACATAGGAAGTTCAACAACATTTCGTTTTAGTATTCCGGGAATCAATAGAGCCACCGACAGTCGGTGGAAAAACACGAGTGCGTTAGTTGGTGGTACGATAGTCTCTTACGACTGCATTGGGTATTAGTTTACGGCTTACCCAGAAACAGGAGTGCGGTGAACGTTTCATGAGGTGGATGAGGAATGGGCGAAACCACTTCACGGTTGTGGGTACTGCGGAGAATAGAATGACCACGCACAACCGAATGGAATTATTCATCGATAAATGACCATTATTCATCTGAAATGCTCTCGGGAATCTGCTACAGGTGTTTGAAATGTTTTCACAAAACTTTTCACGGTATTTCCGAACGGAAGCATTTTAGTTGACCGATTCACTAGTTTTCTGGTTTCGAATGCAAATGCCGAGAGTGTTATGAAACAGGAATAAATGATGTTTTTAGGATCGTGTCTATGTGTATGTCTGTGACAGCTTGGGTTTTTGGTGATTAATTGGGCACTCGAAATTAAGACTTCAAAATTAAGGGTTGCAAAGGTCAAAGTGAGGGTTATAAAGGTCAGAATTAGAGTCATGAGGCTCAGAATAAGGGGCATGAGGGTCAGCGTAAGGGTCAAATGGGTCAGATTAAGGTTCACAAGGGTCCTAAGGTTGAGGGTCAAAGGGGTCAGATTAAGGGTCCATGTAAGGGTTATAAGGGTATAAATAAGGGTCACAAGGGTCAGGTCAACGGTCATAAAATCAAGGGTCCAAAAGTAAGGGCCACCAGGGTCAAAATAAGGGTCACGAGGGTTCTAAGATTGAGGTTCATAAGGGTCTGATTAAGGGCCCATGTAAGGCGTATAAGGGTCAGATTAAGGGTATAAATAAGGGTCAGATTAAGGGTCATAATGGTTAGAGTAGGAGTCTAAATCAGGGTCATGGAGCCAAAAATCAAGGGTCAAACACTAAGGGCCAACAGGGTAAAAAAATAAGGGTCACGGGGGTTATAATGAGGCTCTGATTTAGCTCACAAAGGTCGGATTAAGGGTCAAAGTAAGGGTCTATATTATCTATGCTATAAAAATCCAAATCGACTTCTGGTGATGAAAATTTGGTACTCGAAATTAGGACCAAAATTAAGGGTCAAAATAAGGGTCACGAGGGCTAGAATGAGGTCACGAGGGTCAGAAAAAATATCGTGGGGGTCATGGGGGTTGGCGAGCGGAACGAGCCACAACAATGGAATTTTAAAAAACCTAGTGAATTCGCTAGACAATTCTATTGAATTTCTGTTGACCTTTCTACTAGTTTTTGGCCGATTCTATTGAAATATACAATAAAAAATATTTTACAGAAAAAGGCAAAAGAATCCGATTTTTCAATACAACTTATGTCATTGAGATATTTTCTATAGAATTCCCTTTCTCAAATTTTTTTGTTTGATTTTCTTGGTGAGAAAAAATGAAAAATAGAATGAAAAAATCTTAGAAAATTTGAGCCGAGGAAATTCCATAGAAAATATCTCAATAGGATAAGTTGCACAGAAAAATGGAATTCTATTGACTTTTTCTATAGAATAACACTGATAGAAATATAAATAGAAATCCAACAGAATTGTCTAGCGAATTCGCTAGGTTTTTTAATGAAATTCATACGTGGTGCCCCAGGCCGGGCCATCCTCAGCCAATCTTCACCCATTCCTCCTTCCCGGGTAGATTTGCTCCAAGTAAATTTGCACCGCGCACATCCGTGTTAAGTACATTTCCCGTAAAATACATACTCTTAAATACGCCAATCAACAGTTCGCCAAGTACACTAGCAGCAAGTAGATTTATGCCGGGTAGATTCACGCCAAGTTTGTGCCAAGCATGTGGGGCAAGTTACTTTCCCCCTCATAAATTTGTACACGCTGTTTACATCTGGCTCCGTCCAATAACATGTGGGAAATTCATTGATCCATCCGAGAAACTCAACTCAAACACTTCGATCTCCCCATGACAAACATTCGGGTGGTTAGGGGAACATACTCGTCTCAATTTCCGGCACTTGTGGTCAAGAGGAATTATTCTCTACATTTTCTTCAAGAAATTCATCCAATGAAATACTACAGTCGGCTTTTTCGACGGCTGATATATTACTCGTCAGCTCATAATCAATGAAACTATTTTATTAATTTATTTTTCTCTCATTTAGTTTATTTAAGGGTAAAAGCGCCAACAGCGTTAATTATTTTTAACAAAAGTTTGTAAAATATCCATATATTTTTGAACTTTTTCTTCTCATAAATAAATCATTGAAGTTGCAAATCAGTCGATCATTTTCTGTTATGAGAAAAAATAGAGATCTAAAAAATAAAAACCGTCATTAAATTGAAAAAAATAACGATTTCAAGCCCAATCGATTTTTCTGGAAACCCATCGCAGTTTTCAATAATCTTTAAATCTATCGTAATGGTACAGCCGCTTTAACATTTATTCCACATTTTAATCATTAAAAATGAAGGTCTGTTCGTACCACTTTAACATCACAATCACAAGTACATTCATTCCACAATTTCGCAGAGTTTATCACATAATTAATTTAACGAGTCATTGGATGTGTCTAACTGAGGGTGTCTCTCCATCAGAGAGTGCGGGGTTATTGTCACCAGAAGGTACCACATATCGCCTGAACGCAAATTGCTCGTTAAAGCACAGAATGGCCTTCCCAACTGGAAGGCACAGTGGACGCTATCTCCCAAAATGTTAATTAGTAAAAAAATTCGCACCTCGTCTCAAATCTCTGTTATTCAAGAGTTCAATGCTCCACAGAGAAATAAAAGTTTCAATGTCCAGATAGAATTGTCACTCATTTTAGAAAAAAAAATCAATTATTAGTTAATCTGTGGATTACTTTAGTGATAATTGCGTTAAAATGCAATTGATGAGACAAATTATAGATTAATAATATTTTGTCTCCGGTTTTTTTTGAGCCGAGTGGTGGCAGTAGCTGTCATGTCGGCCGGAGGGGAATCCCCTAATGGACAATTAAGTTCCAAGCGATTGGACTGCCCCTGGATTACCGCAAAATGAATAAATAAACGAAAAAAGTGAATTGATTGGATATTACGGCCTCAATAATTGATTGCGAACTCGAGAGGTTTCCTACGGGTCCTGAGTTACGAGAGTTCAGGCAGTGACAAATATATATATAATCTCCGCCCATGATTGTCATGTGTTATAACCGACATATCTGAATTTTTTTCTCAATTTTTTGTAGGGGAGGGTGGGGTAAAATGGGCACTTTCGACGTTTTTAACATTATTCATAACTCAGAAACAAATTTATTAATTGAGATCAGTTTAAGCTCATGACAGAGGGAAAGACTTTTGTTTTGTATTGAAAACAAAAATTACTAAATTTCATCAACATTTCAACCCGTCATTAACATTTGAAGAAAAGTCAAGTGTCCATTTTACCCAAGCCTCCCCTATATCTAATTTTATCGTCCGCATCTTGATCTGCAAATGTTAATTTATTATTGAAGCTTTTATTTTATAAATATGTAAGATTCTGTAAATATCCGATGCGTTCTTTTGAGCCTATAATTGGCCCGTGGGCTGTTGGGTCTGTATATAGCAATAAAAAAATAAATAAATATAAAAAATGGCGGGGGTCATGTTGCCTGGGATTTGGAACGAGGAATGCGCAACGTAAGCAAGTAGTACCTGAACTTTATTAACGAATGGGGAATTCCTTGGATTCCCTCTCACTATGTCCTCTTCTACGAGTGCATAAATACGTAAACAAGGTGCAGAAATTACGTCCACGTCATAAGAGAATGAAATTATTTTTGAAGGAATATGAATATTCAATTTTATTTGTCTTTTCATTTATTGAATTCACGAGGATGAGAATTTCTGGATGAGGATTTCGAGATATTTTTATTGATCTTGCAGTCCATTCATATTCATTAATTCCCCCTCGCATTTATTGATGCAGATGAATAGAAAACAAGTGGAGAATTGCTCTTGTATTGCGTATAGTACAGTTATTTTTACTAATAAATTAGCAATGTGCATAATAACGGTTATTTTGCACATCATTTGCTTCTATCATGTGTAATTCATTGTTTATTTCATTTTATTAAATTGAATATAATTTCTTTTCTAATTTTGTCAGATTTTCAACTTAGTTGAATGTTATCATCATTATTCTTATTACCCCTTTCTTCTCCGAAAATTTAAACAACTAATCGATGAATTCAGTAGCGACGTGGTAAACCGGTATAAGTCGATTTTGACTGTTGGCCAGTTTTCAATAAATATCTCGGAATCTAAGGGAAATAGCGGAATTGTTGTGATTTCCTTTTTTGTAGCTCTCAATTTGCTCTACAAAAAAGGTTATGACAAAAATGTTGCTATTTCCCTTAGATTTTGAGATATTCATTGAAAACTGGGCAATAGTCAAAGCCGACTTATACCGGTTTACCACTTCACTACTGAATTAAATTTGAATTAATGGCGATCGATAGGGCTCAACAATGCCTACATTTGGAAGAAAAGATTCGATTCCATCCATTCATCAGCAAACAATTGAAGAAAAACGTTGTTACATACGTAACACAAAAAATCCAAAACTTGAATTTGAACGACCACGAAGCCATTCGAAAGGAAAAATCCCCTGCATTCAGTCGTTTAATTGAAAACTAATTACTTACCAGCCACTTAACTGGTACGAACGAAGGGATATTCATGCACGAAAAAAAAGTTGAAACGCCTTCCTCATAAATTCATAATACAAAAGTTCTTTAATTCCATTAAGAAATGACTAACAACTACAGAAGTTCAAGTCTCCTCAATAAATCAATATCAATTACCTCACTTATTTCAACAGTCTGCCTCCCCTCAATTAATTACCCGCCCAACAGCTCACTTAATTAATTACTATTCACTAGATCAGTTCCCTTGAATTATTCCTCCACGAAAGAGTTCATCCACTTCAACGCGTAAGTCCCTACGGTTTTAGTAATGTACACTATTTATTCAGCATTATCCCAGCATTTCGACAGCTCAGACTCTTCCTGATGAGCGTCCAGTCCTCCAGGATCTCTGATTCATTGAGCATGTAGACGATATATGGTCCATTGACGTAGACAGTGCGTTTTCTCTTGTTGTGGCCTCGTCTTCTCCTTCCGGTGGAGCTCAGCCACAGGTCCTCGTGGATGTCCACGAGGTTCTTGTCCTCCTCCAGCCTTCGGATCTTCTCCTGGAGATCGCTGTAGATCGAATTTCGCAGAATTGTCTTCTCGTTCTTCAGATTGTCCTCAGCTGCTTTTTTCTCCCCCTCGTACTTGTGCTCAATGTTCTTACGTCTCATCTCCTGGAGCACCTCTGCCACTTCCATCTTCGTCTCCATCTTCTCCTGGAGGCGCATCAGGGGAACTGAATATTCCTCGGCTGTCTCGTCTTCTATCTCTTGGACTTTTTGATTTAGTTGAGTCATTTGTTCGTGATAAAGTCTGGAATGGGAGAATTCGAAATTTGTTATTGGTTGGTATCTTCGAAGCGAAGGGAGATAGCGGAATTTTTGTTATGACATTTTTTACAGAGAATTGCACGGGCTACAAAAAAGATCTTAACGAAAATTTTGGTATCTCTCATAGATTCAGAAATATTTTCGAAGAACTGAGGGTTTCAAGTGCAATTGATCAATTTTTTCCATCAATATTTTTAAAACTTTTGGGTTTGAAGGAGAATCTCAAAAGATTTTGCTTTCATTCGTGAAATTCCCAACAAGAAATATCTGATATTTTTTTCAATCTTTTGGTTTCAAAAATATTTTAAAAAGGAATTGCAATTTTTGTCTTTTTTCTGAGATTCTAGATTTGTGATTAGTTGATATCTTCGAAGCTAAGAGAGATAGACAAATTTTGTTATACCATTTTTTGTAAAGAATTTTATGAAGCACAAAAAAAATCTTGACGAAAATTTTAGTATCTTTCATAGATTCAGAGATATTTTCGAAAACTGAGGCTTCCAAATGAAATTAATCAATTTTTTCTCCATCAATATTTTTAAAACTTTGGGGTTTGAAGGAGAATTTCAAGAGATTGTCACATCATTCATGAAATTCCCCACAAAAAATGATATATTTTTCTTTCTTTGAACCTTTAGGTTTCAAAGATATTCAAAAACAAAATTAAATTTTCTCCTCGTGATTTTTCTCTGTTATGACTATATTTTCGATTACGATATGGTTGGAGGAAAATCACGTACTGTTCCTTGAGTAATACAAATTGTCTCTCGAGAACATCGACCTTCTCCTGACACTCGATTCTCCTCCGCTCGTTGTCATCCTCATCCATCGTGGAGGAGTCATCGCTGTCACTGTGCTCAGCCCCACTGTCACCGGAAACCGAGCTCTGGTCGGTGTTATTACTATCCTGCGACATTTCTCCTTCTTCGGGGTGGGAGTAATCTCGGAAAATTGGCATCTACGAGGGGAGAGGAATCTCCGAGACTAGTGGAAAATCGATCGGTGAATTCACGATTCGTAAATAATCCAATGTGTGGATACTTTTCAAGAGATAAACCCACTGAATTTATTTCATTTTAATTGACTATATTTGCACTTATTTTACAATAAATGTCAACTTCTCGATTTAACCGTCCAAACCGTCCGGCGCTTTTCACAAGAACTTGGTCTACCGTCTGTGTCAAATTTCGATAACCAAGTCTTGCAAACGACTGACTATGCCGTGTCTCCCTCATCCCTTAAATATGCTGCCCTACTCTCCTAGCTTCCCNCCCCCCCCCCCCCACTGCCGCTCACTCTCTGGGCCTTACGCGTCATTTCCGTACTTGAGGAATGTCGCCTCGTCGCCATCGATGAGGGTGATCCGGCGATAGTGCAATAAAACAATAAACCCCTACGTCTAAAGTTTCAACGAAATTTCAAGAATTTTGGCGCCAATTAGAGTTTGTCCTTCGCCATAGCTCGACGGTTATTAATTTTTTCAGTGAAACAAGTATTGAAAGTGATCGAAAATCGCTATTATTCATGCGAGTATCTCCGAAATTAGTGAATATTCAGTTGAATAATTAAAAATGAGTCAACTCAATTGAATCCTCGACTGCCAACAACTGAAAGCTCTTTGAAAAATGTATTTTCGTTGTATGATTAGAGAAATAATAATTTTTCACTTAAAAAATCATACAGATGGATAATAGAAGATACAGTGAGTTTAATCTCTGCCATTTGCTGATATTTAATTGAATATTCCCTTATTTGGACGATAATTGCGTGAATAATAGCGATTTTCGGTCAGCTTCAATACTTGTCTCACTGAAAAAATTGATAACCGTCAAGCTACGGCGAAAGACAAACTCCAATTAGCGCCAAAATTCTTGTCATTTTATTGACAATTTTTGGTGAAAATTTCATCTTTATAAAAAATTAGCTTTTTGAGGAATTAGCGATAAAAAAAATGTTTGCTCTATGTATGACGTCTCATTTTGAAGAGTTTTTCATGTTCTTTGAGTGTGTCAGAGGGCATTTTGATAGCTTGAAACCGCGCAGAGATATTGGGGCCAATTTGAAAAAAAAAAAAATTTTTTTACAAAAACTTGCCATTTTCAAAAAATTATGACTCCTTCAATTACCAATATTTTGGAGGGGGTATCCAAGCATCATGGCGACACCCAGACCTGTCAACCACCTCGTATTTTTAATCATTTATTAAAAATATTTCTTCTCCTCAGCCCATCCTCAACTTGTTTCATAACACTTTCGTGGTGCTAAGGATTTAGTCGTGATAACATTTGAGCCTCGGAATTCACCAAACAAGGAGAATTTGTAGAGTTCAGATCTACCCGCATTTCAGTAGTTTTTTCAAACCTCCTGCCCTCTTAAACACTGAGAGAAAAATCTGAAGTTCGATTTACAATAAGAAAATAGTTGAGGCAGTTTTGGTGAACGATACGATTTTTTTTGTTTGCGGCACATAACATTATAGTAACTTCACAAGCGTAATTTTTGCAAATAAAAATGCAGTTACACTAAACAACGTTCAACTGCGTGAAATACACAGCAGTATGAAAATTCGGCTGCGTGAAACACACAAACTTCACGCATGCGTGGAGTGTATGGAGTGTACAGGAGTGATTCACGCAATGGTGCGAATAGTCACGGCCAATAAAATACATATTCCAGAAGTGTCAATTTCACCGTACGAGGCCCCATAAGGGGGTCATAAAAGTCCGGTAGTCTACGCCCGGTACAAAAGGGCCTATTCAATCTATTGTAACTGAGCTAATTGGGTCTGGGAGCTACCATAACTCAAAGCGCGCTCTGTGCCTTTCCCTGTAGCAGGGGACGATGCTCGCCCCATCGTTGGAAAAGTCAATTGCAGGTAACGGGGCTCCCGACGCCTTGGAGCGACCCCCAAGCGAGTGTCCAGGTAAAGGGATCACCAAAAAAGTAAAAACCCGGAGGGTGGAAATTCGCACTGGTAATAAAAATAAATGAGATTGTGGTGGTCACGAATTAACAATGGAAAAATCGAGAGTCTATAGAAAATCTTTGACTCCAATCTTAATCCTACGGCTCGTCTTAATCCTACTGCAATAAATAGCGCAATAAAATAATACTCCAATCGCCTGTTATATTTTATTATGGGGTGGCGGAGGCCTCGGTCGGTAACGTTATGGGTTTCGCATTGGCCGGGCCTCGCGTCCGAAATAGTATATTTCGTAACGAGTGCAAAATAGTATATTTCGTAACGAGTGCAAAAAACATTTTTTCACGAGTTACAAACAATATTTTTCATCACAATGTGGCGGAAATTGGACTTTTAGGCACGCGGAGCGTGCCGAAATAGTATATTCCGTCATTAGGCCGAAAAAAACTTTTTCTGACGAATATGATTGCAACCCTCGCCTCCGGCTCGTGCTGCAAACCTCATATTCGCCAGAAAAGTTTTTTTTGGCCGTATTACGAACAATATTTTTTGTCATGACTGCCGTAGGCAGAGATTTACGGACGCGGAGCGTCCGTGAAACACTGCCTTATGGCCGGAATGACAAAAAAATACAAGAATAGGGTGAATCGTCCAGTGTTCGAACGAATAAGGTCACAGTTATTTTTGACGTAGATTTAAAAATATAGCCAAGTCGAAAATTCATTTAAAAATAATTATAACTCCCCTGTACATCTCCATAGATAATAGAAAAAAATATTATGAATATTAATTGACGATACAATTAATGATATGAATACAAAAAGCTGAAAATGTGTGAAAACCCAGTAATCGAAATGCGTATTCTGTAATGGGAATATGCTATTGGCGGCGTGTCATCGAAAACTGTTTTTTCCGCTGGTAATAAGGTAACTTAGACATTTTTAATCAGCACAATATCATTTGGAAATATCATAATTTTATTTTTCATGTATAATGCGAGGCATCTCTACCTTCTACTAATTTATTTTATAAAAAAAGTACGAATTAGTTCGATTACTGGTCTGGTTCGAACACTGGTTGGTTCACCCTATTTGAAGCATAAAGGAAAGAATCAATTGAAAAAGTTGTGAGGCACGTGGAGTGCCAGTGATCGGGACCAGTGTCCTGCCTTCATGACTATCATGCCATCCATTACAAAAAATTTGTCTCTTTACGAAGGGATTGGAGAAACTCTCACTAAACAACTGCAAGACCTTCAATTCGGAAAAATATTGCAATCCTAATGCGTGTGATTATTATTAGTGTTTTTTTCCTACCACTGTGAGGAATAATATATGTTTATTTTCATGTTTCCAACATGAAAATAAATGCTAAATAAACACGTATCGAGGAAAAAATCAATTCATGAACATTTTTCGCAGAGAATTAAATTCTCCGCAAAAAATGTCTTGAAATTTTCGCTCGAAAACAATTATTACCGAGATAATTGAATTGCCAAAGGAATGAGCAATAACCAATTAAAATTATTCCGGTGAAAAACAAAATCCTAACCCTAAATTTCATCCCCCGAAATTATGCTCGAAAACCAAGAAAAAAAAAAATTAAAAACATGCAACCAGGAGTAGGTCTCAACAATCACTCACCACCACAAAAATAATTCCAAAACAAAACAATAAAAACAACAAAAATGAGATAAACTCGATCGATCAGTCGTTCGCTGTATCTTTCACTCTAAAACCAAATCAATCCGCCATATTGAACTCAGTCGGGGGGGCTGTTATCCTATGTTATCCTCATATTCAAAAACTACTACGTTTAAAGTAGAAGACTAAATTAAATTGTAATTAAGAATATTTAGATTATTTTTAAAATTCTACAAATCAATGAAAGACAATATAGATTATTCGTACAATCAGAATTCCACATGTTCAAAATGACACACAATGAACTGAGATATTAGCATTCATTTTTTTTATTTTTTTCAAATAGTTTTGGGCGTTTGGAACAGCCCATCCGAATTTTATTTTTCATGTATAATGCGAGGCATCTCTACCTTCTACTAATTTATTTTATAGAAAAAGTACTAATTAGTTCGATTACTGGTCTGGTTCGAACACTGGTTGGTTCACCCTACATAATGGAATGATAATTTTCAGGTCCACATGAAACTGAAAATTGAAAACAAAAGTAAAAATTCAGTCAATTATTTTTCTAAATTCTCAATCTATTGAAAAAAAACAATTTTATTTAATTTCAAGGAAAATTATAAAGGATCTCTGCAGTTGATTTCCGAGTTCATTTCCCATCAGTGAGGTTCATAATCCAACTGTAAGAAACGTTTATCATGCAGGTTGACAAAATATAAAATTCATCCAATTATATTCATCATTTATTTGTCACAGACATTATAAAACAGTTCCCAGTATTCTTGAAATGAACAATTCTACTCATTGATATCCGCGTCCTCATCATCATCTTGTTTTTGCTTATTATTCTCCTCGTCTTCGTCATGTGGACCTATTTTGTGCATTGCCAGGTCACCCAGCCATAGCAGCATCCTGACGAAAATCATTAAGGAAAAAATTTTGCGATTCCGAAAATAAGGACGTTTTGTAAAAAATTGTCGAAAGATTCTTTATGCAGCTTCTGAAATTTATCACGAAAATATTTTGACCTATGCTATTATGCTATGATATTATGTACCTATGCTCATTCAGAGGTCGTGAGCTATCACATTTTGATCATTTCGAGTCCCAAGAGTCTATCAAGAATGAAATACCATTGGAGTTACTATGTTAGTTAATAAGGAAAGTTGTAGACACCAATGAACAGTGATTTATTGAAGAATGAGAGAGAAGAACCCCATCCACATCAACTGGTGCTACGACAGAGTGAATTCTTAAGCCGCAAGTTAAGAAACTCAATTTTAAAATGTTGATATCTCCGTTATAATAGTAAAATGGGATTAAAAATCCGTTGACTGAGGTTTCGGATGGTTAAAAAAACAAGAAAAATACATAAATTATAGTAATGTCTTAATATTTCACAGAAATGTCGGCAATTGAAAGAATAGGTACAATGGAAATGGGATACCATGGGACTTTCCCCGGTTATAGGCGAGTATTTATTAAAAAATAGTAACTATCATGATTAATATAAGTGAATTCTAATTCTGAAGTTTTTACTTTTTGACATCTAATTTAAACTATCCCATCTTTACACTCATTTCAGTAGAAATATTGGACTAATGAGGTGTTCACCTTAGCTACACGAGCGCAGTATCATTTACCTTACATCTTTTCAGTAATGTTTGAATTGATTTGGCTTTTTTATACGTAAAAGGATACGATTGCTCCTTCAATTCTGTTTCCTCGATATGTGGGAGAATGAATTCGTTGTGAAATTTCTGGACTGCCTCCTCGCAGTCACTCCACTCCAACTGCTCGTGAATTCCATCAGCACCATATCTTTTGTTATAATTGTCATAGTGCACCTAGATAAGCATAAATGATTTCTTAATTCTATATCTATCCCTATGAATTCATTTTGATCTGTGAATCACCTTCTTTCGACAGAATCGAGTCAAAAGTCCAAAAAATCTCTTCAAAGATGAGAAATGATTAATAACATTATTAATTCAACAATTTACAAGTACTCTAATGATTTTCTACTATCAAACGACTTCAGAAATTGATAAAAAATGTCTAATAACGCCAAAAAATTTATAATTAGGAGTTGTGAATTCAAAATCAAAATGAATGAAGATAAAAAATTATTTACATCATTGAAACCCAATCCCAACCCCGGAACGATCGGAAATTTGTTAAATTCAATTTATAAAATGGCTTTTATTAATATTATTAATAATTTAATATTTAATAACGAGTACTCTACTGATTCTAAACTATCAAATGACTTCAGAAATTCATAAAAAATGTGTAACAACATCAAACAAAATTGCATAATCATGAATTATGAATTCAGGATCAGAATGACTGATTAGGAAAAATTATTTACATGATTGAGGACCAATCCCAATCCAGGAGCAATCGGAATGTCCCACTTATCTGGTTTGAAGCTCTCCTCAACCGCCTCTTCAGTCGCAAGATTTCTAACAATGGAAATAGTAAGTGCCACCATTTTCCGGATCTGATGAAGCATGAAGCTCTGTCCTTTAACTTGAAGAGTTGCGAATTCAATGTTGTCCTTGGAGATGTGGGTCTCCAGGATCTGGCACTTCATCATGTACCTGTTGGCTCGAGGATCGAAAGCTCTCCTAAATGCGACGAACAATTAACTCATGAATAAAAGCAATTGGAGATTGAGTGAATGCTAATTGATGAATTTTCTCACACTCTGGACGTGAAATTGTGGAAATTGTGGGTCCCCTCGAACAACTTTAATACTGAATTCACCTTCTCTCGCAATTCAGGGCTCATTCTGAACTCTGTGTACGGTTTGCCGTCGATTATTTTGAGCTCCTCCACACGCTTAGCGAGCTCCTCCTCTGTGGGGGGACCTCGGTCCATCAGGGTTGTGTCGTCAGGGGCAAATGCAAATGTTGGGAGGGTGTAGGTGTAGGTCCTCGCGTTGCACTGGGATTTACTGTTGAAGCCTTTTGTGACCCGTTTTATTCCGAATACACGGATTTCCTTCGGTAGAAACTGATTTATGTCGTCAATATTTGCGTAATCAGCTGCAACAAGAGGAATTTATTGAACATTTGCAGGAAATTATTATTAACCAAGTGTTCTAATCCTTCACACATTGAAAAATTTAATTGAAAAAACCTGGCGAATTGAATTTTTTTTTGCAACTTATTCTATTGAAATATTTTCCACAGAATTTCCTCGGTTAGAATTTTCTAAGATCTTTTAAATTCTATTTTTCTTTTCTTTTCTATGACTTACTATGACATGAAAAATAGAAGAATAGAGTAGTGAAATAAGAATTTAAAGAGGGGAACCCATTCGAAGCAAATTGATAATTTATTAGCAACAATAACTATACTCATTTTCAAAACAATGCAATTATCACAAAAATAATTCAAAGTTTGTTGTAAAAATGACTAAATCCCCAATATTTATACAAAACATTTCGCAAATATTTTTCAAATAAGTTTTCAACAAAAACAAAAAGAAAAGGTCAAAAAATTCTCTTCGATGTTTTTTTTTTAAATTATTTCCTTTAATTTTCACCTCCAAGTTCCCCGTACCCATTAATTTAATAATACCTTCTTGTTCTAATTAACGATAAATACTCTGAAAAATTTCTTACGAAGTTTAGCAGAACAGATTTGTCTCGTGGCAGACACCCCCTTGTCCGTCCTCGCAGCCCTCTGGAAATTAGTGTACTGAATCGTCTCAAAGGCCTCCTCATCAATCAATTTAGCCTTAAACATGGCTGTGATTAAGTCCTCCTCGATGGTCCTCATGTTGGGGTTCCTCTGCATGCCGTAGTAGTCCTTACCCAGGTATCCAAGCATAAAGGCGAAATTCTTCTTCTTTATCCTATCAAACTTCTTCTTTTTTATTTCTGAATTATCGACCTGTTCTTCGAGGGGCCTCTTGTTGCTGTCCGGCACAGCTTCGCTGGGAGCTGCGTTCAGCTCTGTTTGGGTTGACATCGCACTACGATTTTTTACTATGAGAAAAACGTCAACACTGATGAAACGTCTAATAATTCGGGGGAGACAAAAGAAGAAACTATTTTCACGTCTTCATAAATTTTGGACTTTAAGGATAATCGGGCGAGCCCGGAGGGTTGGAAAAAAACAGCCATTTTTTTATTTTTTGTTTTACGTATTCTTTAAATGGTGGAAAAGGCGTGTGCAAAGTTTCAGACTGCTGGGGAGCATGGTTAATTTATTATGAATTTTTGAAAAAGTGGTCATTTGACCGGTGATCTTATGGAAATCACCAAAAAAACTGCAAAACTCAAGGAAAAAATGCAGCCAAAGTCATGAAACTTTAGACACATTCAGAACATGTGATCAATGATTTTTTGAGTGAAAAAGATTGTCGCCTAGGAGCATTGTTTATTAATAATAGCGAAAAAAGTACTGAAAAAATAGTAAAATAATTGATACCCAAAATTTCCAACTGATGATGAATTAAATATTTAAAAATATGGAACTATGAATTTTCTATTAAGTAGATAATACTAAATTTTTTATGAAGGGATTTCCGGTTATCCAAGTAATCGTCAATCTTCCTAGCTCAATAACTGATTAATGAATAATTCAAAATTTGACTATTCGCATTGATGACTTGAATAAATAAAATTCCAAAGTGATATTAACAGATTAACTACTTAATAATTTAAGAGTAATTATAATTTATGGATATGGCTATTCCTGTTTCTCATACATTGAAGATCGATTACATGTGTCTAGAAATAATTAATTAGTACAAAAAAATTAATTGTTTATTGTTCGTTTACCCCGCAGACGCTTAAAATATTAAAAATAGTCCAGGGCCTCCAATTTTTGAGCTACAGAGGTTTGTTTTTCAAAATTTTTGAAAAAATGTGGGCAAAATCAATTTCAAAAGTAGGGGAGGTTGGGGTAAAATGGACACTTGACTTTTTTTTAAATATTAATGACGGGTTGAAATGTTGATAAAATTTAATAATTTTTCTTTCATTGCAAAGAGCAATTCTTTCCCTTTGTGATGACCCTAAACTGAGCTCAATTGATAAATTTGTTTCTGAGTTATGAATAATTTAAAAAAAGTCTAGTGTCCATTTTACCCCACTCACCCCTATGAGAAATTCAGAAAAAAAAGTTGATGAAAAAAATTCCAGGAAATCCAAATTTCCTTTTCCTACATAACAATATATTCTGAATATTATTCACCAGCTCTCTGCCACATGAAGAGCTACACTTTTGCATGTTTGCTACTCACCGAAGGAAGGAAGAATACTATTGATCCTACAGGTCCTTAATAACCGAAGCATTGAGAAAAACTGCAGCTCTTCAAGGCGACTTCAATAAACAATCACAACTTCCAATGATCAACACAAAAATATTTCTTATCTTCGCATGTTTTCCTTCCTCTCAACCATGTGCTGTTGCCAGAGCAGTTTTAACCTCAGTTTCAGCTCCAAAATGTCCAGCGAGAGAGTGAGGTTAGGGCGGTGATCAGATCTCGCGAGAATCATGAATTGGACGGTCGGTTTTTCATAATTTCTGTTGTAATTACGAATTACTGAGAGTTTTCACGTGTTGTGGGGTGTTTTGTGGGGGTAATAGAGGGTAAATGTGTCTGTAAAATCTGCAAACATGTCTGGATTCGCTGTCAATGCTGTCTGCGGACTGGCGAGAGCTGCACAGGTTAGAAACATCAATTATTGTGTGGAATTTATTACTTGGAACGATTAATTGTTGAGTTTTTGTCATTAGTTATTGACTTCTCTCGTGATTTTCGTCGATTTAATGACGTGTTCTGGGACAATGAGTTATCTGATCGTTGATGTCTTTGTTGGAAATTTAATAGTCGAATTTTTTGGCAATTTGATAAGAGATATTGGGTGGATATTTTGGGAGTGGGTGGTTTCAGGGGAAAATTTCAAAAGACCTTTTTTGTGGGGAATTTCCTCATTTACAGAAGAATGCTTTTGAGTTTTTACTGTTGAATGATTCGTTAACGAGATAATTGTCTATTCAATAAGAAATTGGAGGTGATTGAATCGTTCAACATTTTTTATTATTTTGGGATTTTAGGAGTTTAGTAGGGGAGGTTGGGGTAAATCGGACAATTTTGACTTTTTTTTAAATGTTAAGGAGAGGTTGAAATGTTGATAAAATTCAATAATTTTCCTTTCAATACAAAGAACAATTCTTTCCCTTTCTGACGAGCCTAAACTGAGCTTAATTGGTCAATTCGTTTCTGAATTATGAATATTTAAAAAAAAGTCTGAAGTGTCCGTTTTACCCCACCCTCCCCTACGAAATGCTAAAGGTTTTTTTCTTTAAAACATCTCTCTTTACATTTTTTTCTAAAAATCACTCCCTTGATTAGATATCAGTAGCGGAGCGGTAAAACGGTTCAAGTCGATTGTGACTATTAGCCAGTTTTCCATGAATATCTCGAAATATAAAGGAGATAGCAGAATTTTAGTCATGACCTTTTTTGAAGCCCATAATTCGCTCTACAAATAAGGTTATTACGAAAGTTTCGTTATCTGCCTTAGATTCAGAGATATTTCTAAAAAACTCAGCTGAAGGCTAAATTGACTTGAACCGTTTCACCGCTTCGCTACTCATATTTTTGATTGCATAGATTGAAAACGAATCATAAATTAAAAGACGATGTCAAAAAACCGAGTCGAAAATTTTCAACAAAAAATGTTTTCGATTTTTCCTCTTAAAATTATTTATCAACGAGATGAAATTATTTATTCAACATTCAAGAAAATGAGTTAATTGACGTTGATATGTCTTCATTTCAGACCAACACGTCCCTGTTGTCATCCATCTCCCGCCAGTCAATCATCCTGACGCAGATCAGGAATCACAACAAGCACTGGAATCCGAAATACAAGAAACTCCGAGCGGAGAAAGTCATAAAAATCAAGCTCCCGGATTACCAGAAGGAGGAAGATGAGGAGTTAGCAGCTGAGAAAGTCCGGACTAAAATGAAGGAACAGGGTCTCCAGCCCAGCAGACCCTGGGTAGAGAGGCCCATCTTCATCAGTTGCACTGGAGCTATTTTCGAGGAATATGTACCCCCTGAGGGCGATGGAAAGTTCTCTGCAGTCTCCGGAGCAGTAAGAAATATTCGACATTCCCATTTCGATACATAATTTTTTTTAATACCTAGAGACCTCAGAGAGGTGACGAAATTCTTGTCTAAATTTTTTTTTAGCTTTCATTATGCCCTTTTTCCTGACCCATTAAATTTTCCTTTTTTCAATCAACTGTTTACAATCATTCTCATTGCAAAAAGCAACACGACCCATGAGCATCATATGCCCCAATTTATCAGCTGTTAAATTTTCATATTACAATAAATGATTTGCTCATGTTCTAATTCCTACGCTCACTGAATAAGATTTTAATCATAGTTACAGTTCAATTCCTTCTAGAACACACTTTAGAGTGTGAATTTCTGGAATTCAATGTTTGTTGATACTCTGGTGAAAGTGCGTGCCCACACTGTTATCAATTTTTAGTTAGTTTATACGGTAATTCAATTAATATGTTGTTCATCTCGTGTTTTCAGCACCAAATTAAAAATTAAAACTTCATTTGGAATATTGAGTCCCAGCTTCTTCTTATTCATATCAGAAATTTTGTATTTGGATATTAATATTATTTATTCAAAGTGAAAAAATCGATCATCATCTTCACTATATTGCATTCAGATTCTCCTATCCTTAACGTCAAAAATGTGAGATAATCTCATAATTCTAGCTATTAATTCTAATCAACTTCGTTCGAAGAAAATCTTAGTAAACGCAATATTAAGAAAGTAGAATTATTCGGTTTTCCTCTGACCTAAATGATTTGGACAATTATGATTCGTTTATTCATGTTTCGTAGAATGGTATTCAATTCTCATTTGTTTGTCAGGAGGGCTTCATGAAAATTCGACGCGAGACGATTGTACTCATGAAATCTGCCTGACTTTCTCGATTCGTTCGAGATATTGCCCATGCCTTTTCAGAAAGGAAAATATCTGTAAATCGAAAGGAAATATTTATCACAAATCCTGTAGTAAAAACAATTTTTTTCAATCTTCTATAATTTGGAAAGAATAAATAACATTAATTTTTCAATATTGCAGCTCATTTTTTGTAGCTTTCATTGTGCTTCAAAAAAACTTCATTTCAACAATATTCAACATAAAGCAAAAAAATTCTATTTCCCTTGGAAATCTGTTTTTGTTTAACATCTCTAAACCTAAAAGAGAAATTTATGAATAATTCTGTAATGAAAAACGATTTTTCAATCTTCTATAATTTCAAAAGAACATTTGTTCTTTTGAACCAATGATGAACAATAATTTTCAAATATTCATCAGGGTGCAAAGCAAAAGGTAGAATTCATGACGAAAAAGGGTAAATCTTATTTTGCTGTGAAAAAAATCAGAACTTTCCTGGAGGACTTCTCCCCTGGTGCATTTGAAGAGGATGTTCAAGAAACATATATTAAAGCCCATGAAGCTATCGCCAAGTGAGTAATCATATCGAATAATAATTCAATATTGATTTATCCTGACGCCATTCTCTTCCTTTCAGCAAAGATAAGGAGGCTCTACGATTGCTTGTGACCGAGAAGGCATTACCTGTGAGTTGTCACAACATTTTTTCTCCTCCTATTTTTTTTTATTATTTCCATATTTTTATTCCCAATGGAGTTGATAAATTTTTGACGATTGGATTGGACATTTACAGGAAGTAATGCACAATACCCAAGATAAAACGATTCACTGGAAGTTTATACAGTCTCTCACACTTCCTCGTGTTGTGCACGCCCGTTGCACAGACATCATCACCAAGGACAATGTGTTTGGACAGATAACTGTGCGTTTTCATACTCAACAGGTGTGTAAAATAATTAAATAATATTGGATCCTTATTTCGTTATTTGGAAGCCATTCTCATGCCAATTATGCATTTATCTTGAAAATGAGAGATTTTATGGCACAATTAATATAAATATTACTAAATATCATTTCTAAAATGAACATTATTATGACCAACAGTGCCAATAAAACAAATTTTAATTATTATCAAATGGTGGATGGATATTACTCTTTGAATTAGAAGAAAATGTCAAGATAGATTTTGTTTGAAATCCCATTCTCTCAATTCCTTTCTCAAATTATTAAAATTATTCTGGAAATAACACGTTGAAATTAAATTAAGTTGAATCAAATGGTGAATGAATATTAATCTTTGTTGAATGGGAAAAAAATATTTAAAAAACAACATGTGGCTGGAATTTGATTTTCTCGATTCCTTTCCCAAATTTGTTGTAGAAGCGAATTTTGCCATCTTCTTCTATAATCACTTGATTCCTAGATAATTTTATGAAAACAAACGTTGAAATGAACTTCACACTGATTATTTTCGTAAATCCTTACTGGTCGTGGAAAAAATAATCTTCCACACTTGATGATTATTGTTTTCTCTCAACAGACCCTCGCAGTTTACGACAGATTTGGTCGTCTAATACATGGAAGTGAGTTCGTGAAGAAAGACGTACTGGAGTACGTGGTATACGAGAATCACTTGGCGAATAAATACGGTGCATGGAGGATTCATGGAAAAATCATTCCACCCTGGATGCCAGAACGAGAACACACCCGGAGGACTTATCTGATGAAGCCACCACCAGAGCCTGAACAGTTGGAGGAGCCACCGAAGCAGCCAGAAGTGTCTGTTGCACACGTCGATAACGATATCTCGAGCCAACGACCAGCTGTTGCGTAGGATTATGTAAAATAACGAAATAATAAAAAAAAACGTTGATTAATACAATGTCTTGGCGTTATCTTTCTCTGTTTCTTCCCAATCTCCCGTGAAAATTTTTAATTAACATTTTTTTGCGGAATCATGTTTTTTAACTACATCATGATAAAAAATTACTTCGTTTAATAATTTTTTTAACTTTTGAATTTTTCCAAAAAACGGTTGTCTCACGACAACTTAAAAAATGTTCTCAATTCATTGAATAATGGCTTAAAAAATTAGTTTGGATGCCCTTTTGACCGAGTTCGAAGATGCACCAAGCGGCCAAACATCTTCCTTTCGGAAGTGCTTACCTTGCTGATGATGCTGTTTTAAAACATTCTTTGAGTTGAAAATATTAAAATACCCATTTTGAGTCCATTGAGCGGACGAGACGCTCGAGGCGGTTTGTTAAGCCATTTATGATCACATCATGGCTAATAATAATGCTAGAAGAACTCGAAGATTCTTGAGTCTGGAGCGGGTTTTAACTTGTGAGCGAGTGGTGTGCGGCCTACGAGTCGTAGGCCATGACCCGTTTGACCGGACGAGCGCCGCAGTCTCAAGACTCTTGAGTCAAGCGTCGACTCAAAGGCGCTCAAGAGGTGTTACTGAGCCACACAGATCACTCGTGATCACATAACGCTTCCAACACAACTGATCAAATTTCGTTAGATTATTAATGATTCTATATTTTTCGTAAAATTAAATCGTTGTTACTCTCATAAATTCATGAATATCAATATTTTTTTGAGCAATGAATTGGATTAACGTGACATTAAATCATTGTCCGTAGCATTGATACGTACACCATCGATGATTTCGTTATCTGAGGATCGTAAACAATGATAGATTACTCAAATTATGTCATACCAACCCATGTGTCATGCCTCTGGAGCGGTTTTTAACTTGTGAGCGAGTGGTGTGCGGCCTACGAGTCGTAGGCCATGACCCGTTTGACCGGACGAGCGCCGCAGTCTCAAGACTCTTGAGTCAAGCGTCGACTCAAAGGCGCTCAAGAGGTGTTACTGAGCCACACAGATCACTCGTGATCACATAACGCTTCCAACACAACTGATCAAATTTCGTTAGATTATTAATGATTCTATATTTTTCGTAAAATTAAATCGTTGTTACTCTCATAAATTCATGAATATCAATATTTTTTTGAGCAATGAATTGGATTAACGTGACATTAAATCATTGTCCGTAGCATTGATACGTACACCATCGATGATTTCATTATCTGATGAGAACGCAGAAAGAATTGAATACTCAAGTTGATTATCCCGTTCTAATAATCATGTTGGAATAATCAGTGAAATATATACCTGTGCAAAACTCTCCAATGAAAACACATAAAACTTTCCTGCCGTCAGTCGAATGGGCTCTTGAGTCGTTTCCATGCATATAATCAATGCTTTCTTGAAGAAAGGTGACATCTCATACCAATTGCATTCGTAGTAGGCGTTCAGAAGTGCGGTACACTTAACCATGATTAATTAGGCATTGCAATAATTCAATTTCACACGTTGAGATATACAATTGACGCATTTTACCTCAGTATTCAAGCACTCCCCCATGAAACAATTAGCGTATACTAATATTGTCATGGAGAGAATATAAGTTGCCAATCCAAATACACCGAATGCATCAGCATCATCTATATTCTGAAAAATTTTAATGTCCGGAGGAATTTTCGACGAGACCATGCATACGGGTATTATGGGACGAGGAATCAGTAGTCACACGCACGCATGAAAAAAATTTCACTGAAAAATCTAACGAATTCGATGGAAAATTCTATTGGCTTTTTGTTGAATTTTCTATGAATTTATTTTGACGTCAAAAAAATTCAATTCAGTCACGTAGTTTTCGAGATGTTGAGGTAAAAAGATTTTTGAGAAATTGCAGCATCTCGGAAACTACTTGACTGATTGAGCTGGAATTGCGCCCAGAAATACTCCAAAGTAATACCAATTATGTGACGAAATTTCAGATTTTTAGCTTCAACTTTAGTCCTTTTTCTGTGAAGATTTATAACAATTTTCCTGAAAACATCATATCTTCACGTTTCATGATATTCTACGTCATTTTCCGGCAAACTTCGAAGATCGTCAAAATAAACGATCACGAAGCTTCCATTCGGAAGCAAAAAACGTGGTAAATTAAAGCTCAGGAAGTTCTATAGAAAAATCTAATTCTATTGACATTTTCTACGGAACATGTTCCATTGAAAATCTCAACATATTCGGCAAAAAACTAGTAAAAATTCAATAAAAATACAACAGAATTTTCTAGCGAATTCGTTAGGTTTTCCCGGAAAATTTTTTCGTGTTTACAGATCTTCAAAGATATTCATCAAAAACTCATTCCAAAGTTGAGTTGCCTCGTCATGATTCCGCACGTCACCATCAAATCAAAACGTTACCAATAAAAATTGGTAGACAATGAGGCCTATCAAAACCGTCGTAGCAAGAAGATCGTACAGAAGGGCTAGATGAAAAGCATCATTGAGCCACTGCGCGACCCTAGAAAATCGCATAAAAATAATTTCTGAAATCTCCCAAAAACATCATCCTCACTCACACAAATATTTTTATATGCCGCTGAGTGTGTCGACGAAAAAAAGCGCGTGGATCAGAATTGTCATCCTTCATAATTGAAACTCTATGAGTGAGAATGGCAAGCTGACCACAAACATTCATGACGAATCCCAATAAAATACCGTAAGATGTCACGAAAGATACACCCGTATACATCATTGGGAATTGACATGCGTAAACTATTGCGGTTCTCTCGGTTGGTGATAGATCGATGAAATGATAAATTCGATAGGGATTCACCAGGACTGCTGTACCATTCATCATTCCTATTTTGAGAGGACACTGTCATCTTGTCGCGTTTCAGCGCATTGTTACTGAAATTGACTCACGTGTTACGAGATACGTCTGGAACGGTGTCACATAATACATGACAGCAGTGATAGCTGCCAATCTGGTTCCCATCCGATAGAATTTCTCTGCAACTGATGAATACTGATGAAGAATCCTCAACTCTTCGGGATCCTGAAAATTCTCGATTGCTACATCTTCCTCGATTGAATCTATAATTCTACGTGTTGTTTGGCCAAAACGAATTATGATAATTCTGTATATCGCCATTGTTTGAAATGCGGTTTCCGTTAGATTCAGTATCACCAATTCTAGACTCCCCATGATGCTCGCGAGATCTAGCAGCTGCATTGAGAGATGAATGGCGAAATACGTCAGAAAAATTGTGAGCTTCAGTTGTCCAAATGACGTTATGTTCTTCGGCCAAATACCTAGGACACCTAGGGGCCAACTAATTCGATCGAACAGGTACTTCACCTTTTCAAATTCAACCTTAACAAAGGTACGTGGAATAGAATATTGTATGGGGGAAGAAGGAATCGGAAAATACCTTTGAGCTCATGTCCATTTCTCATGAATTCGTGACACACGCTTCTGAAGAAAAAAAGTTTCTTCCACAGAGAAATAATAGAGAGAACAGAGGAGCGATATTAAAAATTCATCGAGTGCATGACTGAACGCACCTCAGAGGGGAGATAAAATGGTAAGGAAATAGAAATTTGAGGTGAAATCAAATGCAATGTTGGGGACAAAGCTCAACGCCTTTTTAAAAATTCATGTGATTCCCGGAAAAAAATGCAATGCGTTATTTTCGATGCCGGATGCGTGACAGAGGTTTATCAATTCTTCGTTCGTACTGGAAGCTTGCGGTGAAGAGAGGAGGGGAAATCGGCCTCTGTGATTTGAGCGCGGACAGTTCATCACTAGCAGCGGAACTAGCAACAACTCAAGGAAAACAGAATTGCCGAGACAAAGAAGAATTTCGCTGATGTGCTCCATGCACTTGAGTTGTGGAAATGCAATGTGATGTAGTAAGCAGTTATTCACGTTTTTTCATTATAAAATCTTTGTTGTATCTACCAGTTATTCCGAGTGGTAATCATCAAGTTGCGTGCAATAATTTTGAATACTTTCGAATTGTTCCGATGCTCAAATCGTCTATTCTTGAGTCTGGAGCGGTCGTTTACTCGCGAGCGAGTGCATGCGGCCTATGAGTCGAGGATAGTGACTCGTTTGAGCGAGCGGACGCCCCAGACTCGAGACTCTTGAGTCAAGAGTGGGCTCAGTGACGGTCAGGTAAGAGCCAGCAGGTAGATATTCTCTGGTTTGCTCTCACTCAAGACGCGGCTAGTCGAGAACAAAATGAGAGGATTGAATACAAAAACTTCATTGTAGTCCTCAATCATCACAAAGGGACAAATACTCGGGCAGTTTTCCATATTCTTTTATTATAATATTTCAATCAAATTTTTCTGCAATTGTTGTAATCGTCAACGTGTGCACAAAAATTTGAAATAAACACGAATGACACCGACATGACATACACATGATAAATAAAAAAATAATCTCAACAAAGCGCTCAAAAAATTGATACATTCGATAAAAAATAGTGTCACTTTCTTCACATGTGGGAAATTAAAACATCAATACTCATGAATTTCTCCTGAAGATAGAAGAGAAAAGGATTGAATTGAAAGAACCCAGTGGTGGAGATGAACAGTGATGTAAATTTTCGTATAAAAATCGCGATTCCTGTGAGACTGACTCCCTCGTCCGTGGCCTTGTATAAAATGTGATCCAAGCAGTGGCATTAACATTAAAAAAAATTATACGGAAGTAGTACTTCAAGTGAGTAAAATCTAAATCCATCGCCCTGAGTCTCGTGTTGATGTCTCAGGTTGATCTTCCCGGGTTTGACTCCAACATGAATTCCTGGTGTTGATTTCAACATCACCTTGCAGATCAAGTTACTCGCAGGTTTTGGTATTCAATTGACCTGGAGCTTGGAGAGACAAAAAAATTGGAAATTTATCCTCTCTTTTTAGAATTTCTGAAAGAGTTTCAGTGAATTTCTCTTCGATTTCGTCATACGTGTGATATTACATTATATTAATCGGATAAAATTTTTCATCTCCGATTTTTATTCTTTGCTATTTTTTTATGTATTCTATCAAAATGTGAGGGTGGAAATTGAATTGATGGGTATTCCTTCATTATTTGAAAAATATATCTATTTTAAAACTTTCTGGAGACATTGAAAAATTGAAATTTTTATTTTCTTGCTGATCACGTATCTCTGTCCTTTTTTCATATGCTTCCATTGAAATTAGATCATAGAAAGGGTACATATTGATATTTTTTCGTCATTAAAAAAAAATCAGTTTTTAAATTTTTCAGAAAAATAAAAAATCGTTTTCTTTCATTTTCTTGCTGATCATCTCTCCCTGCATTTTTCTCATTTCCTCTCAATGAAATCAGATCATGCAAACGAAAAATTTCATTTTCATGATCTGATTTCATTGAGAGGAATTATTATATTTTACTGATATTATTTAACATGAATATCTCTTCATTTGAAAATGAGAAAAACTGTTCCCACAATTTGTATACTACAATGGGAATAGAATCCAATAAATTTAATTTAATCTAACCGCCAAGAAAAATTGGAAAGAAAACAATAAAATAAATGACTATAATATAATATAATCTAGCGACTAGTGAGAGATTATGAGGATAAATGAAGAGTCAGAAGGGCTCATTTTTTCGTACCATCGCAACAGTTCTTCATTTTACTCAGATAAGAATACTCCTTGGCATTGGTGAGTCCCGATAAGACACAAGCGCTGAAGCCACTTCTGTTCAAATTCATTGGAGCAACATCGTACCACTCATTAGCATCAGCATCGTAGCACTCAACATATGTAATTGTTGTATAATCTGAATTTTGTGAGGGTATAAATCAGCGGCGGAGAGAGAAAACGAAATGATAAACTCTTCGTCAAGTGACTTTTTGGTACACGAATATCTTGGAGTGTGAGACAGGGAGAGAAATCCTCATGACGATCTTTTTGCGAAGCAAAATGAGAGTGACGAATGTAGCGTATCTCACTTAAAATATTTTGATCACCATTGAGAAGTCCTCTAGACATGCCGCGTGAAGAATTGAGGAATGTTCATGTCTAACTTATATATTTCGTTACGATGACAAATTGATTGATTCTACTCTACCAAATATTTCTCTTAAATGTTTCTGCTGAAAGAGGCCCGCAAAAGCTGCTGGAAGAGCTTCAGGCATGAGATTTCTCGGGGATTGCTCTCCCCTAAAGTTCTTTACTCTTATCCTCAACTATTCGAATCCAAAACAAAACGAATCCAATACACTGATAGAAAGGATTAGTTATTGCTAACGAATGTTAACAATATGTTAACAATCGGCCTCACCAAATGTTCATTCGTTAATAGTTAACAAATGGATATTTGAGAAGGCTTGTTTGATTCGATTTTCACCTGTCAAGTGAACTATTCGTTAACTATTAACAAATATTCATATATTTGTCATTATATTATAGTTAACGAATCTCGTTTGGAATAAATGAATGAGTACCAGTGTAAAATCTCCCTCAACCACAACTCACTCACCATCAAATCCTCCAATAACGAAAATCATATCATCCAAAACAACGGAAGCAAAATTACTCCTCGGGTTTATCATCTCCGCCACTTGCTGCCACTCAGCCGCTTGATTCGGGTTATACCTCTCGGCTGTAACCCCCCGAGAACCCTTTTATTAATTCACCAACTACTCAACCACCCCCAAAACCTCCCCGAAAATGTACAGTCGTCTGCGTGGAATAAAGAAGTGAACTCCCCATTGGAATACCGATATTCACCTGACGTAAGTCTGACGGATCCGTCGAATCCCCCAATGGCGTAAAGATTGTTCCTATGAGCGATCAGCGAGGGCCCCGCTCTCGGACTGATCATCGAACTGATGTAGGTCCACTGATTGGTCTCGACATCGAACACCTCCGCCGACTGGAATATCTCGAATCCATTGAATCCCCCGACGACATAAATCTTGTCCTTCAGTACAGCTGCACTTGCGTCCGAGCGTCTCGCATGCATCGGAGGAATGATCTCCCACTGATTGCGTTCAGGGGTATAACGCTCGGCTGAGTTCATCCTCTCCCGGCCATTCGAGCCCCCGAGGGCATAAATTTTTCCTCCGTGTGTGCAGACACCCGCGTAGCACCTGGCGTGATACATGCAGGCCCTCTCACACCACTGCTTCAGAATGGGATCGTAGCAGCAGAGTGTGTTGAAATACTGGTGTCCAGCATAGCCACCGACCATGTAGATCAGATTGTTGAGGGCGCAGAGGCCGTGATACGCCCGCGGGGCCACATCCGTATTCACCACGAACCAACTGTCCGCTCTGACGTCGTAGGTCTCTACGAAATTAGTCGGGGAACCCCCGGTCCAACCGCCAATCGCGAAGAGGATTTCGTAGGGTATGCGGGGACGGGAGCGAGACTCCGCTAGGTGGGCATTTGTTGTTCGCAGGAGTTTTTGACATTCCTGCAGGAATCGGAACAAGCATCAATTTCAAAATAAGTTGACAGCTTATGTTTAACTGATAGTATCCTATTTACTAAACATGAACGAAACGTGGAGTTGTTTTATATCGAAATATCTCGAAACTGCCTGACCGATAATCCTTAATTCTGATTGGTCAATATGTGACACGAAGTTATTCACAAAAAAAACACGCGGCATTTTCAAATGCTTCAGTGACATAATTTCAAATTCTTCAGTGGTAAATTTTTTTTTCACGTCATATATGTATATAATATATATATTTCACATGTATATATATCATCGGTGAAATTAACAAATTCTGTCCTTTTATGGAGACCAATTATTTAAAAAAATTGAAGATAATTAATTGAAAATGAAAAATGCTTTATAGATTCTTTTACTCTACTTTGCTATTCACTTCAATCATTAGTCGAATTCTCTTTGATTCATTATCAATATTTATAAGGTATTTATGAGAAAATGAAATTCAATGAGTTCCATTTCTTCATTGCAACAAATGAATAAATCAGCGCGCGCGGGAGCGCGCGCATAGATCTTGCTACCCAATATTTTGCAATTACCAAATTAATCATCAATCGAATATTCAAATTCCGAAATAATCTATCGACCAGTAATCGTGTCAGAGGATTGACCGTTACATGTCTGATCGAAAAAGTCCTTTTATGAAATTTAGAATTATTTACTGAACAGTTAATTGAAAATTTATATTAGGAATTATTTTATTATTTTCAAATTTCAATTAAGATGAAAAAACCATAGTAATAGAAAGATGCACATTCTAATAATATTACAAAATATTACAAATGTAATGACTGTCGATTGATTGCTGCGTTCCTGAAAATATGTGTTCATCATAAACACGAAAACATGAGAATTCAATCAATTTAGTTATTTATTCTAGATGTCAGGGGGAGGATTATACCTTGCTCTCCTGAACGAGCTTCCAGTTGACGATTTGAGTCGATATATATTGAATACTCATGAGCCCCAGTCGGACGCACTCCAGCAATACTGGAAGACACGTCTTCCTCTCGTCCTCATTCTCTTCTATCCATCTTTTTAACGCTTTGAACACAATTTCTTCACTCCAGACGTTTAAATCATCATCGATCAGCATAGATCTCAGATCTTCGCAAGTTAACTCAGAAAACTCCGCACTCTCGTTCAGGATTTCCGTGAAGTGATGACGGATGTATTTACGGCTCTTCTTTTCGAGCTCGTGGCAGAAGTAATTTTTTGCAAATTTGTAAATTCCTGCAGAAATTTATCACCGATAAAGCTTCCTTCACATGATAATTCCAACTAATCAGGTAGATAATCATAAATAATTAGAAAACGGAACAGGTTAAATCAGCATAAATGCGTGACATGAAAGGCGAAAACTAATTTGACATCAAGATCTTCTCAGATTTCGTCTGTCTTGACTAAAAATCTATTGAATTCTAGAATTCTAGAATCAACCTTTAATTTTTAACAAAAATTGTAGTCTTCACAGGAATTGTTCTGTTCTATTTTATTATTATTACCTAAACAATTATCTGGCTTTAACTCCTTCAGCAACAGCTGACAGCACAACTGAACAACCCCAAGCACTTCAAGCTGATCAGCAAGAGGCAGAAGCTGCTCGACATTTTCCACCGTGACATTGCACGTTCCCGTGTAAGCATAATCCAGAATCAGGGAAAATATATCGCCGGGTGCAGTGTCAAGGGACACCTCGGACTTTTCGTTTTTCCCAGGGACTTGGAGGATGTTTGTGAACAGAGCCCTGAAGTACGGACTGACGGCTGACAGGATAACCCGATGAATCGGGAAGACAACATTCCCTGAGCACCTTACGATCCCATCGCAGAACTGCTGATTCGCTCTTGGGGGTGATCAATTATCAGTGATTTGTGGTCGCATTATCATGTTTGAAAAAATTTCGTATAAAAATCTAGCGAATTCTCCAGACAATTCTGTTGGATTTCTATTGAACTTTCTATTAGTTTTTGGCCGATTCTATTGGAATTTTCGACAGAAATTATTCTATAGAAGAAGTCGATGGAATTCCATTTTTCTGTACAACTTATTCTATTGAAAATTTTTGTACTGAATTTTCTAGGATTAAATGTTTCAAGGATTTTTGTTGTTTAATTTTGTTGATGAAGCGAAAAAAAAAATAGAATCAGAACAACTTGGAAAATTTGGGCCGAGGAAATTCTATAGAAAATATCTCAATGGGGTAAGTTGAATAGAAAAATTTAATTCTATTGATTTTTTCTATAGAATATGGTATATATTCTCTAGGTTTTTGTATTCAATTTTTTTCGCACGTGATCTCGAGTTGTTAGTTGCAGGAAAAAATTTATAGAAAAAATTAGTGGAGTTTTATTTTTCTATACAGCTTTTTCTATTGAATATTTTCTATAGGACTCCCTCCACATGATTTTTCCAAGATTTTCCGACTTTTTTCTCTTTTCATAAAAAAAAATCAAAAAGAAAAATTTGGAAAATTTCAGCTCATAAATTTTTATCGATTTTTTCTATAGAATATTTTTCTCTGAACATTTCTATTAGAAAATGTTCATAAGCTGCGGAATTTTTTAATGGAGTTGGCCAAATACTAATCGATACTTCAATAGAAATCCAGTAGAATTGTCTAGCGAATTCTATAGAAAATTCTATTGAAAATATGTCTATTGAAAATACTATCAGTTTTTCTATAGAAGAATTCCGCAGTTTTAATGCGCTTTTTCTACAGAAAAATTCCATTAGAAGCTATTTTATAGAAAAAATCAGCAGAGTTTCACCTTTCTACACAATTTTTCTATTGAATTTTCAAAGTTTTTCCCACTCTTTCTTCCTCTTTTCATGAAAAAACTCAAACGGAAAAATTTCGCAAATTTCCGCCGATAAATTTCAATTGATGTTTTTCTATAGAATACTTTCTACTAAACATTTATGTTTAAAAAAATGGTGATGAGTTGCAGAATTTTTTAATAAAATCTGACGAAACTTAATGAAGAAATTAATGAAAATGCAGCAGAATTTCCTAGTGAATTCGCTAATTTTTCTATGAAATTTTTTCACAAATGCAAAATCGCTTCACCTGAACTCAGACCAGACAATAGGAAACTCAACGGCCTTGTAGTCCACCGGGAGACACACACATTTTCTCGCTTTTCCACCTTGCCTCTTTCTCCCCTGTTTATGGCCAGATGAAATGATTCCAGAATTTGCGTGGGAATTTTTCTTGAATCTTCCACTTCTCCGAGGACCCTCCATCACGACAAACTATCCCTCGATTTTACTCCGAGATTCCTTCCTGGGAGACTATTATCCTATTGCGACAGGGTCCTCTCTCGTTGACACGAAGAAATGCTCCGTGAACCGACATCAATTTGAAAACATAAGAACAACGATTCGAGCTTTTTTTTCGAAATCTTGACGATCGAACATTTATTCTATTGGCACTTGCCTCTGCACGAGTGAGAGGATAAAGCCATTAGGATTAGAAGAGGAAGAACATTTATTCTAAGAATTCTCTCATAAAAATTGAAAAATTCAGACAATTTATGGTGAAGAATTTTTGTAGCAGAAAATATCGAAAGAATGAATTTTACCGAAAAAAGAAAATCAACGTTTCTGCAAAATGAGCTATCATTTTTATGCGGAGAGAAAAGTTGCAAGAAACAAACATCTCAATAAGAATATTTTTTTCTATCAGAATTCCAACTCCTTTCCTCCAAAAATTTTCCCCGACATCTGGATCGAAGAAACTCGATCGAAATTCAATAAAAATCCCTCCGCGACGATGAATCTATCGAAAAGCCTGCACAGTCATGTATATCAGAGCGTCTGACCCGGCAATCGATATCCGACAGGCCGTACACATCGTGCAAGTGTTGGATGTCTAAATGTTGCGGAGAAAAAGCAGTGATAAACTCCCCCACTGCTGCGATATCAACGGCGCAACCCCACCACAATTTTCCACGCATACTCAGTAGTGGCGTATCGTTCAGACAATTTAACAAGCCCAGGTGGTAGTAAAACCGCCGGCATTGCCGGTGATATCAGCCACACCTCGCAACGATTTTGCACCCCTGAGTTGTCTGACAACAAGTGACCAAAAACCCCTTCACCGCGAGCCAATTCAACTCCTGTGTCTCTGAGGTACGTGAAAGGCGTCTCGATTTCAATAGACGTCGAGTCGTTTCGGCTTTAAATGTTAAATGCGTCGGAGGTAATTCCACTCGGGGGGTGAATAAACGGGTTCTGGAATTATTTAGCAATATGAGAGGCGCGTCGCGGGGAGTTGGTGACATTCGTCGTGATGGTGAGGCGTCGTAGAGGATGTGGAGTAAATATTTTTTCGTTGTTCAGGGTTTTAGAGTGGACGATTGGCACTCGATATGGAGATTAAAGGACGTGTGGCACTGATAACGGGGGCTGCCTCGGGCATCGGCAGGACTTATGTCGAGGAGCTACTTAATCATGGGGCTAAGGTATGGAGTCTACTCAAGGTCATTTTCGATAGTTGGGGTAACGCGATTGCGGGTTTACGCACGAAAAAAATTTGGAGAAAATCGTAGCGAATTCGCTGGACAATTCTATTGGATTTCTAAAAAGTTGAATTTTATTTTTTGATGCAACTTAGTCTGGTGAGATGTTTTCTATAGAATTTACTCGACTCAAATTTTCTAAGTTGTTTTTATTCTATTTTTCTTTTCTTTTCATCAAGAAAATCAAGCAAATAACTGGGGAAATTTGAAGCGAGGAAATTCTGTAGAAAATATCTGAATAAAATACGTTTTTTTAGAAAAATTTTTGCTAGACAATTCTATTGGATTTCTAAAAAGTTGAATCCTACTTTTTGATGCAACTTAGTCTGTGGAGATCTTTTTTATAGAATTTACTCGACTCAAATTTTCTAAGTTGTTTTTATTCTATTTTTTATGGAAAATATATGAATAAAATAGGTTTTTTTTAGAAAAATTAAATTCTATTGACTTTTTCTTTTGAGTATTTCAATTCCAAGATGATTCTTTTGTATCAGGCCGAGTTGTCTCACATGGAAAAAATAAATATACAGAAATATATGTCACTTATATCTGCTTATATGTGGTATACTTTCCGGCAAATAAATGCAATATTTGAGATATATGTTGGATATATGTGTGTCCATATATGCCACCGGGTATACCTAGCATATACCTGGTATACAAGGCGAATATATTCAAGATATAATTCCGGCAAAATCACTATATCTCACTTATAAGTTTTGGCTTATATTTTTTTCTATGCGGGGTAGTAGGCCCTCTCAAGCGCAATGTAAGGGTCAGACACTAAGAGTGAGAATATAAGGGTCAAAAAGTGGAGGTTAAAAAATGAGGGTCGGAATATTAGGGTCAAAAACTGAGGGCCTGAATGTAAAGGTGAAGGAATGAGGGTCAGAATGTTAGGGTTAAAAAGTGAGGGTCAGAATATTAGGGTCAAAACATTAGGGTCAGAATATAAAAGTAAAAAAAGTGGGTGTCAGGTAATGAGGGTCTAAATATAAGTCATATATTAAGCTTGATCACCGTTTTTAGCCCTTATATGACCCTCATTGCCTGACACCCATTTTTTTACTTTTACACTCTGACCCTAATTTTTTTATCCTAATATTCTGGCCCTCTTTTTTTAACCCTAACCTTCTGACCCTCATTCCTTCACCTTTACATTCAGGCCCTCAGTTTTTGACCCTAATATTCCGCCCCTCATTTTTTAACCTCCACTTTTTGACCCTTATATTCTCACTCTTAGTGTCTGACCCTTACATTACGATTGAGAGCGCTTGGTACAACCCGGGCTGATACGAAATAATCATCCTCGAATTGAAACATCCATTCCCCATTCGAGTATAAAATATATTTGAATCAAGTTTTTTTTCCGTGTCATTTATTGCATTCTCATAAGTCATTGAGTTTTTCGATTCTCATGTGTTGTTGATGCAGGCAACACTGACTGTTTGCGGGAATTTCGCTGCTTTCTTCCTCAAGACGAAAACAAAATTAGGGATTTATTTTTAGACTAACACTTGTTCCTTCGAAATTCTGAAACTGTGGCTCAACTTGTAGGTCTCGATATGTGATATAAATGCCGAGGAGGGAGAGAAATTGGCAAACAGCCTGATGACAAAGCATGGAAAGGATAAGGTGATTTTTTGCCAATGCGATGTCACTGATTATCCGCAATTCGAAGGTAATGGCTCATGATAAATTATGCGGGAAGGCAATTGTCGAAGTCGACGATTGGAATTAACAAATATTTTCTATTGCAACAGAGTCATTCAGGACGACTATTTCAACGTTCGGTCATATTGATATCGTTATCAACAACGCTGGGATAATGAATGACAGATTCTGGGAGCTCGAAGTTGACATTAATCTTGTGAGGCATTCAAATAAGACTGGATATACGTATGAAAACATTCAGTTGAAAATCTTAGTCCTCGAGTCGAGAAATTTCTTGAATTTCTGACCGTCATGACCATTATTTTGAACATTGCGACCCTCAATTCTGGAGTTCTAATCTTGAGTACCAATTTTTATCACCAGAAGTCGATTTTAATTTTTATAATATGGAGAGATCATTTAGTAATTTATTACTCGGAGAGAAATTTTTTAGAAAAATTCTAGTGCTAGCACGGGAAAAGAAGCGCAAAGTGACGGCCAGGAAAAAATTCCAGTGCCGGCTCTAGAAATTTTATTGGGGAAAACGTGAATTTTTCCCCGTATTTCTGTGAAAATTTCACAGAAATCCCCAGAAATTTTACCACAAATACCAAGAAATTTTGCCTTAACAGCACTAAAATTTTCCACAGCCGGTGGATTGTGATTTTTTCCCGTACTCGTACTGGAATTTTTCTAGAAAATTCCTCTCCGTGTATATCATTCAATTTCAATAGAAATTGAAAGGAAAAGGGAACAAATTTGTGTGCCCAGGAATCCCTATTGAATTTGTTCATGCGTTTATTTACGATAAATAATAACTACTAATGAAAAAGCTTAATAAAAAAACCTTGCGCTTTCTCTGAGAAATTCTATTCAATTTCTAGTAGAACTCTGTAATAATTCCATTGGAGTTGTGTAAGAATTCCATTGAATAATCCTATCTGCGAATTGCGCAGCGTGCACGGAGAGACATTTTTACCAAGAATTTCTCTTTAAAAAAAAAAATTTGCAAAATTTTACTTTACGCACAACTGGTGAAATACACTATTTTAATAGAATTCATCAGAGAAGCAATGGAATTCTTTAAAGAAAGCGCTGAGTTGTTCTATTAAAATTCTTCATACGTGTATTTAGAGAAAATGAACATTTCCTCGGTAATCCCTTGCAGAACGGCGTTATCAGAGGTACTCTCCTCGCACAACGCTACCTCGGGATTGATAAGGGGGGGAGAGGGGGTGTTGTCGTGAACACTGGAAGCAATGTGAGTTTAAATCCATACATCAGTGTGCCAATTTATTCTGCGACGAAAGCTGCCATCGTCAGTCTCACGAGGGCCTTCGGCGTAAGTACACGCACTCGCGCGTGAAATAATTTAATAGAAAAACACAGAGCTTTCTCTGAGAAATTTTATAAAAATTCTGTTGAAGTTCTATTAAAATTCTATTTTTTTTGCCCGATTTCTATGGAGAATTATGCGAGTTCATCGTCTCACTGTGTTGAGAGATATTTGACAGAAAGAAGTCAATAGATGTTTATTTTTCTATAGAAATTCTTGTGCGTAAATTTTCCAAGTTTTTTCTGTTGTTTTTTCGGCTTTTATTTGAGTCTCACAATAAAATCCAAGAAAAACATTTTGGAAAAATCATGCCCAAGAATTCTTATAGAAAAAATTCCAACAGAATAAGTTATATGGAAAAATCAACATCAATAAATATTTTTTTATACAGAAATATCTATTTAAAAACGGGGAGACGTCAGCATAATTTTTTAATAGAATTGGCGCACAAGTAAATAGAATCTTTCAATAAAATTCGCATAGACTTCCAATCGAAATTCAATATAATTTCTTAGAGAAAGCGCTAGGTTTTTCTACTAATTTTTTTCATACTTGTTCAGACAGGATATAATCATAACTCATGAGTTATACTGCGACTATAGAATTAATTGTTCACAGGACAAGTATCACGTGGACTTGACAGGCGTCAGTGTGATGGCACTGTGTCCAAGTGCAACGACTGATAGTAATTTAATTCGTGATGTTGGGAAACAATTATTACTACCTCGTTATGAGGATGCATGGCGTCGGGATACTGCCTCGAATGTGCCACAAAAGTGAGAGAATTAAAAAATTAATTAATTTATTCATTTATTTAGACATCTATTTTATGCCTAAAAAAGGTTTCCGAAGGTTTAAACAGCTTCGATTATTTATTTATGAACCAAGAAAGTTTTAAAAATTTTAATTCTGTGCGAAATGTAATTTCAATGACGCTGAATATTCATAATTTTTTTTTAATTTTTCTTACCCAATTTAATTGACAAATTTGGTGATTGAAAATGGTTGAGTCTATAGTGTGGTTTGTACCAAACTGTAAAAGATACTGTACTATTTTTTTACTATTTTTTCCTATTCACATCCAAATTCTATTGGAATTTCGATGTGCGATTTTTTCATAAATATTTGACTTTAAAAAATGAGAGAAAAAAATTCAGTGAAAACTTGGAAAATTCATGTCCAAGAATTTCTATAGAAAAATAAAATGCTAATGTTGATTTTTAATAGAATTCAAATCAGCAACGAAGTGGTAAAGCGGTTTAAGTCGATTTTTACAATTGGTGAGTTTATAGTGAATATCTTGGAATCTAAGGGAGATAGCTAAATTTTTGTTCAGACCTTTTTTATAGCGCTCAATTTGCTCTAGAGAAAAGGTTATTACATAAATTTCATCACCTTTTTTAGATTCGGAGATATTTTTCAAAAACTCAACTAAGAGATAAGCCGATTTAAACCGTTTTACCACTTCGCTACTGAAATAGATTGTCAATCAAATTCTCATAGAATTTCAATAGAAATTCAATAGGTTTTTTTAAAAGCTGTGTTAGAGGTTTCTATTGAATTTTTTAATACGTGAAATTGTGGCGTGCGATTTTTTTACAGATGTTTGATTTTTTCAAATCCAGTAGACATTGATTTTTCTATATCAAGAATTCTTGTCCACGGATTTTCAGTTTTTTTTTCTTGAATTTTGTAATGTTTATAGAATTTTCTTTCTATATGATAAAAATTCTTATAGAATTCGAACAGAAATTCAATAGATTCTTTTAGAAATGCATTTGGTGTGTCTATCGAATTTTTTAATATCTGAAATTTAATTAAAAAATTCAACAGACATTGGTTTTTCAATACAAAAAATCTAAGTTTTTTCCTTGAATTCCGAATAAAAAACAAAAAAATTCTTTAAAATGTATAATTTCTAAATTTTTCTAAAAAAAAAAACAGAAAAATTCCCCTTTTTGTAACTAAAATCCCCTCGATTGCTTCCTTACAGAGCTGACCACGTGGGAAAGGCACTAATCCAAGTCCTGAATGTTGGAAAAAGTGGCAGCGTATGGCTAGTAGAAAACAGTCAACCAGCCCGAGAAGTAATTTTTCCAAAATGAAAAACATGAAAAATTCATTAAATTAAAATAATACTTCAATTGATTAACAATGATAACACTGATTGGTAAAACGTCCAAGTGACATTCCTCGCTTTTTTACCTGCTGAATGAAATTTTATGCCGTACCAAATTTATGAAGTTTTTATACCGTATCTAAAATACATTAAAAAATAGGGAAGTATGGGGAAATAATATCATCAAGAGAAATTTTCAAATTTTCGTGTATTCCATAGAAACAAGTACCATCTAAGAATCCGCCCAGGTATCATTTAATATTCGTCTCATGGCAGCTTTTTCTGGAGAATATTCGAGGGGTTGCTCACTCCATGACGTCGAAATGAAGTCAATTTCGCGTGATTAGATAGGATTTTAACCCATTCCAGTGCCAAGATCACGGAACGTATCGGTGTGAAGAGAGTGGGGAACGCCCTGGGTGTCAATGCGCCACTAGGTACGCGTGGTGGCGCACGCACACCACTACAATATGGAGAGAAGTGGGGAAAACGGTTGACACCCGAATGGGATCACGTCTGAAAATATTCCATAGGAAAACCTAGCAAATTTGCTATACAATTCTATTGGATTTCCATTAAATTTTTTATTAATTTTTGGTCGGAATTATTGAAATTGTCAATTCAAAATATTCTATAGAAAAATCAATAGAATTAGATTTCTCCATACAACTCCTTCTATTGTGATATTTTCTATAGAAATTCCTTCGGCTCAAATTTTCCAAGGTTTTTGTTAAATTTGCTTGATGAAAAAAAAAATAGAATGAAAAAAATTGAAAATTCGAGCGGAGGAAATTCTATAGAAAATATGTAAATAGAATAAATTGTATAGAAAACTGGAATTGTATTAACTTTTTCTATTGAACATTTCGCTGGAGTCGGTCAACAATTTCAATACAATCGGCTGGACGATTCTGTTGGAATAGCCAATAGAAAATGTTCTGTAGAAAAATTCAATAGAATCAGATTTTTCTATCCAACTCATTCTATTGTGATATTTTCTATAGAATTTTTTCGGCTCAAATTTTCTGAGATTTTTTGTTTGATTGTCTCGACGAAAAGAAAGAAAAATAGAATGAAAAAACTTGAAAAATTCGAGCCGAGGAAATTCTGTAGAAAATATTTCATTAGAACAAGTTGTATAAATAAATCTAATTCTATTGATTTTTTCTATAGAATACTTTCTATTGCACATTTCAATCGAATCGACCGAAAACTAACAGAAAGTTCAATAGAAATCCTGTAGAATTCTCTAGCGAATTCGCTAGGGTTTTCAATTAAATTGTTTCATCCGTGCGAATGACATCTAGTATGACGCAATATAATTTCATGACTGCAGTTGACTTTGAATGATTTAATTAGCGTCAGTAGCTCCTCGATAAAATTCATGAAACTCATATTCCGCACGAAATGGATGATCTACATAATCATAAATCAATTATAATCGGTAACATAATATAGTATAAAAATTGTTGATATAAATTTCGTTCGCATTGACTGTCTGTATGGGTTGCTAGCTTGTTCGAATAAAGATTACCTAGTCTTTTATTAATACATTCCGCGTTCTCTTATGTTTATTTCCCTGGATCACGTGTCACGCCCACATCATTCGACATAACCCGCTGAAATCATCTGTGAATGCGTAAATTCTAAGAAAATTCTCGAGTAAAAAAATCAGATTGAAACCATGAATATACGATGCTGTCTACGTCCTATGCTCCACCAGTTTGATCGAGCATTTCCTATTATTACACATCGTGCGGAATTAGCAACTGCTCTTAAACAGGAAGTGATTAAAAAGAAGAAGAAGAAAGGGATCTGGCCATGGTCGAAGGAGCCCGAAGACGAGAAGATCAAGATTTTAAGACCAGGAGAATGGTAAATGGCAATAATATGGACACCTTTAACTTTCTTTTGAACGTTAATAATTCATTGAACGGTTGACAAAACAAAAAATTTTGCGTATGAGATATCTTCATACGCAATTCATTAAACATGGGAAATTAATTTCTCCTAGCGAAGAGAAAGAGACCTTTCTCGATCCAAAATGCAAAGTGGCGATAATAGTGAACGGCGGAAAGAGCTTTGGCCTGTCGGCAGCGCATTCTCTTCTGCATCATGGGGCTAAGGTGAAAAGAGGAGTATAGCCCTGACGGATCACTCGATAGGGGGTTCGAATTGCTCTCGCAGTCGAGTGCTAGTTGATCACGATTCGATTGACCGACCATCGATCAATCAATGATCGACCAACGATCGACTAGTAATCGACCAACGAATTGACCATCGACCGTTGATCGAGTAACCATCGACTAGCAATCGACCATCGATCGACTAACTCTCTATTCGTGATCAATACAGTCAATGATCGACCGGCCATCGATCAAGTGAATAAGTCGATCTCTTGTGGAGCCACCATCAAGAAGCCATCGATCGATCAGACGGATCACTCGATAGGGGGTTCGAGTTGATGTCGCAGTCGAGTGCTAGTCGATCACGATTCGATTGATCGACCATCGGTCGTCCAACGATCGACTAGCAATCGACCAACGAATTGACCATCGACCGTCAATCGACTAACCATCGGCCATCGATCGACTGACCCTCTGCTAGTGATCAACCAAGGATCGACTGGCTATCGACCGAGTGAACAAGTCGACCTCCTGTAGAGTCACCATCGAATATCCATCGATTGATCTGTTAGGGAATCGTCACATACTAAAAGTCTTATTCTTTTATTTATTGTTACGATTTTTCAGAATGTCATTGTGGCTGATGATAGCCCTTCCGCTGGGCAAAAGGCAGCCCAGCATCTGTGTGATATGCACGGAAGAGATCGTGCGCATTTTGCATTGTGTGCCCTCAACAGCATCTGCAAATTCGAAGGTATTTTAGAGGGAGGCGAGAGTGGACAGATTTGATCCGATAACGTGGAAGGGGTTCAACTGAGGGTTAAAGATGAGGGTCAAACAAGGTCAACCATTGAATTGACCTTAACGGTCGAATCATAGGGGTGAATGTAAATATCAGGGGTAAGGATCAAATCGTATGGGTCAAACTAAAGGCCAAGAATGAGGGTCAAACAGCGGGTCAATAACAAGGTCAACCATTGAATTGACCTTAACGGTCGCACCATAGGGGTGAATATAAATATCAGGGGTAAGGATCAAATCGTATGGGTAAAACTAAAGCCCAAGAATGAGGGTCAAACAGCGGGTCAATAACAAGGTCAACCATTGAATTGACCTTAACGGTCGAATCATAGGGGTGAATGTAAATATCAGGGGTAAGGATCAAATCGTATGGGTCAAACTAAAGGCCAAGAATGAGGGTCAAACAGCGGGTCAATAACAAGGTCAACCATTGAATTGACCTTAATGGTCGAATCATAAGGGCAAAACTAAAGATCAAGGGTAAGGGTCGAATCGCATGGGTCAAATAAAAGGTCAGGAATTTGACATCGATGTAAAGTTCGTTGAATTTTACTTCATCAATCATAAATGATCGAAAAAAAGGTCAATTAACTCCAATCTCCCCTAATAAAAATGTCTTCTTTAAAAAAGTATCTTTTTCTCCTCAATAGCAGTCTTCGACTCTGTACTATGCAGACAAAGAAACATCCATATTTTATTTAATAATCTTGATGGTACTACAACTCCGTCACAATTGTGTGGTGAAAATGATGGAGATGACGCTGACTGGGTATGAAGTCCTGTGCTCTAATTGTATCGTTTTTATTACAAGAAAATTGAAAATTTCAGAGCAAAACTAGAAGGGCGATCGAGGTGGGGGTGAAATTCATGGGGAAACAGAATGGCGGGGCAGGGGGGATTATCATAAATACCGCGAGGATCCTCGGCTTCATGGGATGGCCGGAGGAGCCAGTGCCTGTTTACTGCACGAAGGAACCTGTCGTCGAGACGACACAGGATTTGGCTGTATGAAAAAAACATGATTATATAAATTATTAAGGATATCCAAGTAGTTTAGTCATTTTTTTCTAGGAGAAATCCTCTTCAGAGCTGATAGAATAGACGAAGAGTATTTTTTAGGCGCAATATCAACTTCTGTTTCTGATAATCAAGTTTGAAATTGAATAAAATATCATTCACAATGTTCATTGAAGAAATTCCCAATAAAAAAATTCAACAATGAAAAATCCGAAAAAGTACGGGGATTTTCGACAAAACTGACATCTTGAAAAACTGACAGCTTGAAAGGAAATTGCGAACTTGAACGAAGTGCTTGGATATCCTGAAAGTCTGTTGAGTTCTCCCCACAGATTAAATCAGAGACATTTTATTCTAGAAAATGTATGCATTCGAAAAAACTGGTGTGCGAATAATCACTCTTCTGGAGGCTTCCAGACCATTTGAGGAAATTGGTTTGCCAGATTTTCCAGCTGCGGGGACGAAACCGGAGCGAGGGAAACCAGTGTACACGGCGTGCGCATCGGCAATGTATAAAACGATGACGAAAAAAATATTTCAATATTCATTTCATTTTGTGGATTGAATTTAGGGAATCGAAAATTGGTAGAGCGATTGTCCATCTCATGGCGAAGGCCGAGAACGGAAGCACATGGCTGATGGAGTCGGCGTCACCTCGAGAATTACCGAGGCTAATTCATTTCCCTAGTAAAGAAGGGGAGAAAATCGACCCAAAGATCTATGACGAAGTAGTAAGGGCTGAATTTTGTGATACAAATATCGTTATGGAAATGTGGTAATCTCGGAAGAATCTCATCACTGCGAAAACTAATGTCTGAATTTCAGACACTTTTGCAGACACTTTTCAAACACTTTTGGGACGATTTTTTTTTTGTAGATACTTTTGAGACATTAAAATGTGTGGGAATCAATGGAGGTATTTCAATTTCAGACAACAAGATGTCTGAAAGTAAAATACAGACATCAGTTAGATTTTCAGACACTTTTAAAGATTCAGACGTTTTTTGCCATCTGCCATCGTAAATTCAGATGGTTGTCAGACACCTAGTTTTAGCAGTGGATGAGTCAACTTTTCAGACATGAGAAATATCTTAAAAATTAATGTTTGATGAACTTTGCCGTCTGAATCAGGTGAGATATCTTAATAGCGAAATGTTTGAATCGCTTATAAATAACTGAATTTCAGACAGAAAATATCTGAAAATAAATACCTGAAATTTTTCAGACGCAAAAACTGTCTACCATCATTTTCAGACAGAAACGGTGGTTGAAATTTTCAGACATTAGTCAGATTTTCAGACACTTTTGAAGATGGAGGCGTTTTTTACCATCTGACAGTTTTGAGAACCATCTGACGTTTTTACCATCTTGCAGCTTTTCCGTGCCTTTTTTCAGTAGAAATACTCAATAGAAAATACTTGATAGAAAAGAATCAATCAATTTATCATCATAACGAAATACGTACAACGTATTCTGTTGACATTTTTGGAATAACGATAGTTCTATTCATTTTCAGCCATGTCCTCCTGCCTTCGAATCATTCTGTGCATCGACAAAGGACAGCACGTGTTCACCGGACATAAAAACCCATTGCACTCCTTAGAAACCAAAGAAATAAAAAAATTCAAGGGTATATTTCGCATCAAAACAACATATATAATGAACGAATATATTATCATTTATTTCGTGAATGCAAAAATAGTTCCATATATTAGAAAAATTATAAAAGTGGTCGTATAAGATTGTGATCGCGTCTTCACTTCAGAGGCTGAACCTTAATTGAGATTGTCTTGGTTTCCAAGTAGCCCTCGAGGCCCTTCTCACCCCTAAAAATTGATAATATTTAGAGATACATTTTTTTTAATGAAGAAGCTTGATTCGAGTACTCACAGCTCACGACCAATTCCAGACTGTTTGTATCCTCCGAACGGAGTTTGTGGGGTGATGGCATCGTAGCAGTTGACCCTGACAACAACAGAAGATAAAGTGTTTCAATTGAAAAATTTCATTTTCATGATCTGATTCCATTGAGAGAAATTATTACATTATACTGATATTATTTAACATAAATATCTCTTCATTTGAAAACGAGAAAAACTGTTTCCACAATTTGTACACCACAATGGGAATAGAATCCAATAAATTTAATTTAATCTAACCGCAAAGAAAAATTGGAAAGAAAACAAAATGAATTAATATAATATAATATAACCTAGTGCATTATAATATAGTATAGTATAGAATATAATATAATAAAGTATTATCGTAATATCTTTACTGTATGCTACCACCATTTATAAAAAATCTAATGGCACAATCCGCCGAATAGATTGGCTTCAAAAAACCTTGCACTAGATGTTTCATAAGAGTAAATTTTTTCATGCGCCTTACCAGACACTTCCTGCTTCAACAGCCTCGCAGAACTGAAGAGCCTTGTTGATATCATTCGTAATGACCCCAGAAGCAAGACCATAAGTGGTCTTATTCGCCCTCTCAATAACTTCCTCCATAGTATTGAATTTCAGAATGGACTGAACAGGTCCGAATATTTCCTCCTTGGCAATTCTCATGTCGTCTTTGACATTCGAGAAGACAGTGGGTTTCACGAAGAAACCGACGGTGCCCGGGCGCTCACCGCCGGTTTCAACCACAGCTCCCTCTTCTTTCCCGGATTTTATCAAACCGAGCACCTTGTCCAACATGTCTTGATCGATCTGCGGGCCCTGAACCACGGTGGGGTCGAAGGGATCTCCGACTTTACGCTTCAGAGCCAGTTCTTTGGATAGCTTCACGAATTCGTCGTAGATCTTCGCTTGGACGAATGTGCGGGAGCCGGCGCAACAGCTCTGGCCGTGGTTCCCGAAGAGGGCCTCGTGGGCAATTTCAGCTGCTTCTTTCACTAAAATGCATTATAATTCGTAATTGATAATTTGTAACTGATGATTCGTTTTTTTTTAATGGACAGAATATTTTATCGCACGTAAAAAATTGATAAAGGGCTAGATCAAAAAGATTTAATTAACTTTTTTGACTTCTAAATTGTTGCTTTGAAACCAGATTTATCTTTTGTCTTTTTATGGAAAATTTTGCAGCATTATAAGTAATCGATTCTTTTATATGATTTATCAAGAAATTTTGTAGGAAAATTCTTCTTCCAAGAAATCTCGTCATTTTATAAAATGCGTTATAGATGATTCACAGTTTTTAATGGACAGGACATTTTATCACATGTGGATAAAATGGATACAATGACCTTATTTAATTCCTAAATTGCAGCTCTCAAATTCTATTAATTTTTCACAATTTAAAATCCAATAAAAAGCCAAAATTCTCAATTCTGAATTTTTCTATCGATGAATATTCCACAGAAAATTTTCGTTAAAAAAACATTATGATGTGCTAGCAATTTCCGTACAATTTTTTCTCACATTGAATGAGAAAACCGTCAAACTCACCATTTGCATCATCAAAAATAACGATTGGACTCTTTCCCCCCAACTCCAAACTGACGCGTTTCAAGTTCGACTTGGCTGCTGCCTCCAAGATGACGTGACCGATCTGAACATGAAAAGAAGACGAACGTTTTCTCACTAAATTCTATTTTAAAAAAGGAGGAACGAGTTAAGGGAGTATCATTTATCATTACATCGGTAGATCCAGTGAATGCGACTTTGCGAATATCCAGATGTTCGCTGATAGCAGCCCCAGCAGTCGGACCGTACCCAGTGATGACGTTGACGACTCCCGGTGGGAATCCAGCCTCCTTGGCTAATGCTGCTACGTACAGAGCAGTCAGAGGAGTCTGCTCAGCAGGTTTGAGGACAATGGTGCAGCCAGTGGCCAGAGCCGGTCCCCACTTCCACGCTAACATTGCTACTGGGTAGTTCCAGGGAATTATCTGACCAACTACTCCAATCGGTTCCTTTTTCGTCATAGCCAAGTTGCCATCATCTGCAATGGTATGCATTTTTTATTTTATTAGACGGGGCCTTGATGCCCTTTTTCCTGCCAAACTCGCTATTCCTTTTTTCAATTAATTGTTTATAATCATTCTCATTGCAAAAAGCAATACGACCGATGAGAATCATACGTCCCAATTTATCAGCTGTTGAATTCAGTAGTGAAGCGGTAAACCGAGTTAAGTCGATTTTGACTATTAGCCAGTTTTTGCTGAATATCTCGGAATCTAAGAGAGATAGCAAAATTTTTCTTATGACTTTTTTTATAACGCTTTATTAGCTCTACAAAAAAGGTCATGACAAAAATCTTTCTATCTCTTTTAGATTCCGAGATATTCGTCAAAAACTAGCCAATAGTAAAAAACGACTTAACCCGGTTTACCGCTTCGCTACTGAATTTTTGTATTACAATAAATACTTTGCAAATGTTATGCAAATGTTATTACTCCTATGCTCACTGAATAAGATTTTAATCATAATTACAATTCAATTCCTTCTAGAACAGACTTTAGAGTGTGAATTTCTGGAATTCAATGTTTGTTGATACTCTGGTAAAAGGGCGTGCTCACACTGTTATCAATTTTTAGTTAGTTCACACGGTAATTCAATTAATCTGTTGTTCATCTCATCAATATAATTTCGCGCTTAGAATATTGTCATCTCGTGTTGTCAGCACCAAATTAAAAATTAAAACTTCATTTGGAATATTGAGTCACAGCTTCTTTTTATTCATGTCAGAAATTTTGTATTTGGATATTAATATTATTTGTTCAAAGTGAAAAAATCGATCACCATTTTCACTATATTGCATTCAGATTTTCCTATCCTCAACGTAAAAAATGTGAGATAATCTCATAATTCTAGCTATTAATTCTAATCAACTTTGTTCGAAGAAAAATTTAGTAAACGCAATATTAAGAAAGGAGAATTATTCTATTTCTCTCTGATCTAAATGATTTGGACAATTATGATTCGTTTATTCATGTTTCATAGAATGGTATTCACTCTTTTTTTTGTTAGGCGGGCTTCATGAAAACTCGACGCTTGAACTCACGAAAACCGACTTACTTTCTCCATTCGTTCGAGATATTGCCCAGAGTTTTTTTTAGAAATTACGATAGCGAATTCTCTACGAAATTCCTTTGCCTAATTTTTTCAACTCGTTGTGTTAATTTTTTTTTCAATGAGAGGAGAAAAAAAAATGGAGTGAAAAAAGATCAGAAAATTAATGTGGACGAATTCCTCTAGAAAATATCTCTATGGAATGAATTGTATGAAAAGATGAGAATGTATTGATGTAATAAAATTAATTAATCAGTTTCTCCCAAACATTTTCTGTTGCAAAAAACACGAGAATTCAATTTAGAATGAAAGAAATAATTAACCAGTTGGGATAGTGGTGCCGAGGATTTTATCACACCACCCGGCGTAATAGCGGAGGCACCCCACACTAGCTTGAATGTCCCCAAGAGCACTGAGGTACGTCTTTCCATTGTCCAAAGCTTCTAGATTGGCAATGTACTCAGCATCCCTCTCCATGAGATCAGCAAGCTGTGATGGGCGATCGGTAGAAATAAAAAACATATATATGGAGAATATTTCATGATGTTCTCGAGTGAACATCGAAGATTTCCATAATTAGGTAAGCTACCTTATTGATGAGGAGTCCACGACCAGAGGCATTGAGCACTCGCCATGGTGCTCCTCTGGCGAACGCAGCTTTCGCGGCTGTGACAGCTTTGTTCACATCAGCCTAGGCGAAATGTCGAAAAAGTTAATCCTCTGTTAAAAAATATTTTCGGTCGACAATGTGTTTCGCTAAGTTTATGCTAGACTTGGAAATATTTCAAGTTTATTCTATTCTATTCTATTCTATCTAGATATTTTTTTCTGCTTTATTCTTTGCCTATTGCTTGTAACTTCCTATTGTGACTTTAGTCATAATTATTTGGTACAACATAATGTACAGTTAATAAATAATCAATCAATCAGTCAATCAGTCAATCTATCTACTTCGGATATTTTTTCTCCAGCGAAATACTCTTCTACTTTCCTAGTCGAACATCAGAGCTTTGATATAACCCAAAGTTTCCGGACATTTTGCAATGATTTTATTAATTAACTTTTGCAGGTCTGAATTTGAATCTCGATATTGAACTGTTAGAAACTATTTTAAAAATCTGAGAAAAAAATGCCAATTTTTGAAAATTACGGGCATTTTCTGTAAATAATTTATAAACAATCAATTTCACCATACAAATCCTTTGCCAAATCGATTTCATGCATAAAAAAATGAGGTTTCCGAAAGTTTACACAATGTCAATTATTTATTTATAAACTACTGTTTAAAAAAATAATAATTCTGTGCAAAATGTAATTTGAATGACGCTGAATATTCATGATTTATTGCAAACTGTTCTCACCCAATTTAATTAATAAATTTGATGATTGAAAATGTAAAAGATGCTTGGATATATAAAAAATCATATTATAGAAATGCGATAAAATTTTGCTTTCGTTGTTTTGTCAATTTTTTTTATTCGTTCCTTTGATTAATATTACGCACTTTAATCGCAAAAACTCATCACTCACTTTATCTCCCTCAGCCACTTCAGTGATAACTTTCCCAGTCGATGGGTTGATAGTCGTGAATTTCTTCTTGCTCTCCGCGTCAATAAATGTGTTGTTGATGAATAACTGTAAATATTTGTGCGGTTCGGATAAAAATAGAACACGTGAGATAATGTGACTAATTCATCGAGAATCGTAAATCGACTTATCAGCTGTTGAAAACTTCGAAGGAAGAACATCGATGTTTGGAAAAGAGAATCGAAAATCAATTAATCATCAATTTTCGAATTATGAAAAACATCGATTTTTCATGCCCAAATATCGAAAAAAATCGTTGTTTTCGATTAATCGACAAACATTGGCAAACTTCACACCCGAGAAAATTTCGTCTCACTCGTATCGAATGTACTATTCTTCGCGTTTCATAACATTTTAGACCATTTGCAATCAAAATTAGAAAATCGAAAAATCGATAAAATACGAGACTTTCATTTCAATATTACTATTCGGTAAGAAAACGAAAAAATTTGTTAGCCTGGATCAGAAACATCGATGTTTGGAAAAGAAAATCGAAAATCGATTAATCATCGATTTTTGAATCATGAAAAACATCGAGTTTTCATGCCCAAATATCGAAAAAAATCGTTGTTTTCGATTAATTGACAAACATCGCCAAACTTCACACCCGTGAACATTTCGTCTCACTCGTATCGAATGTACTATTCTTCGCGTTTCATAACATTTTAGACCATTTGCAATCAAAATTAGAAAATCGAAAAATCGATAAAATACGAGACTTTCATTTCAATATTATTATTCGGTAAGAAAACGAAAAAATTTGTTAGCCTGGGTCAGAAACATCGATGTTTGGAAAAGAAAATCTAAAATCGATTAATCATCGATTTTTGAATCATGAAAAACATCGAGTTTTCATGCCCAAATATCGAAAAAAAATCGTTGTTTTCGATTAATTGACAAACATCGCCAAACTTCACACTCGTGAAAATTTTGTCTCACTCGTATCGAATGTACTATTCTTCGCGTTTCATAACATTTTAGACCATTTGCAATCAAAATTAGAAAATCGAAAAATCTATCAAATACGAGACTTTCATTTCAATATTATTATTCGGTAAGAAAACGAAAAAATTTGTTGGCCTGGTCAGAAACATCGATGTTTGGAAAAGAAAATCGATTAATCATCGATTTTCGAATCATGAAAAACATCGAGTTTTCATGCCCAAATATCGAAAAAAATCGTTGTTTTCGATTAATCGAAAAACATCGCCAAACTTCACACCCGTGAAACTTTCGTCTCACTCGTGCAGAGACTGTCAGTGTGTTACAATGCATCCAAGCCATCGCTATTCGTAACAATACTATCGATTTCAAGGACGGCCCAATGTGCGAAGTTATGAATTGCTCCTCGATTCTCCGTCCAAAAAAATAGCGATGGAAGATTCCAATCACATACAAACGTGCAGGCGCGAGTTGAACAAAAAGGCGTAAAAAAATTATGGATATGGCTTCTCACCTGCGTGTACTTAATGACAGGATTTGGATTCGCCATTATTTCACCAAAAACTCGATATTATTCGCGCCGATAAAAATTTTTATTATCTGTCGTGCTCGCTCCACTCGACTCTCTGACAATGAATCGACGGTTACACACCCAGCTGTCTATATATACATGCCTCGCCGGCCGGTTGCCATACGCACCAGAGAGGGGGATTAAATCACAAGTGGCTTCTATCTCCTGCGATAGACGATAAATGCGAGAAGGGTAAGTAGACGACTTTATTTTTCGTTGTTACATGATGAAACATATGGTATGATTTGTATTTTGAAAAATAAGCAGGGTGATAGGGGACAAAGTATAATGATGGAAATTGCTTTTTCCGTTTGAATTGTTGACCCTCAGATATCTAATCGTGTTCAATACTAAAGAAAGAAAACATTGGGATGTTCTTCGAATCTGTTTATTTGGGGAGAAGAATGATTGGCGGTTTTTTCTTTTTTTTTTTCGAAATTTACTCGTAGGGGATCTATCGAATCTCGTGATTGTTTTCATGAATGTAGACTTTAATAAGGTCTATCCATTGACACCAATTAAAAATCAATTTTTCGGGAAGATTCGAAACAATTCGAGTGTTAAGAGGGTCTGATGTAGGATCATTTGAAATAATTCTTTCTAAAAAAGAAGCGTGGGCAATAAGTCAGGCGGTTTTCATGAGTACAATCGTCTTGCGTCGAATTTTCATGAAGCTCGCCAAACAAACAAAAGAGAATTGAACACCATTCTATGAAACATGAATAAACGAATCATAATTGTCCGAATCATTTAGGTCAGAGGAAAATAGAATAATTCAGTAGCGAAGCGGTAAACCGGGTTAAGTCGATTTTGACTTTGGGTCAGTTTTTGATGAATATCTCGGAATCTAAGAGAGATGGCAGAATTTTGCCATGACATTTTTTGTAGCTCTCAATTGGCTCTACAAAAAAGGTCATGACAAAAAAATTTCTATCTCTTTTAGATTCCGAGATATTCGTCAAAAACTGGCCAATAGTCAAAATCGACTTAACCCGGTTTACCGCTTCACTACTCAATTCTACTTTCTTAATATTGCGTTTACAAAGGTTTTCTTCGAACAAAGTTGATTAGAATTAACAGCTAGAATTATGAGATTATCTCACATTTCTGACGTTAAGGATAGGAGAATCTGAATGCAATATAGTGAAAATGCTGATCGATTTTTTCACTTTGAACAAATAATATTAATATTCAAATACAAAATTTCTGATATGAATAAAAAGAAGCTGTGACTCAATGTTCCAAATGAAGTTTTAATTTTTAATTTGGTGCTGAAAACACGAGATGACAATATTCTAAGTACGGAATTATATTGATTATCGAGATGAACAACAGATTAATTGAATTGCCGTGTGACTAACTAAAAATTGATAACAGTGTGGCCACGCACTTTTACCAGAGTATCAGCAAGCATTGAATTCCAGAAATTCACACTCTAAAGTGTGTTCTAGAAGGAATTGAATTGTAATTATGATTAAAATGTTATCCAGTGAGCATAGGAATTATAACATTCGCAAATCATTTATTGCAATATGAAAATTTAACAGCTGATAAATTGGGACATATGATTCTCCTCGGTCGTATTGCCGTTTGCAATGAGAATGATTATAAACAATTCATTGAAAAAATTAATATTGAATCTGACAGGAAAAAGTGCATATTATGCAAAAAATTTCATGACATTTCAATTTATGATAGCACTATGCTACGAAAAAAAAAAGAAGAGAAGAGTAAAACAAAAGTTCAACTAAAAAAAATTCATTCAGAAGCAAATTGCTAATTCATTAGCAATAATAACTCATTCCCAAAGAATGCAATTATCAACTTGTTTATTGTTGCATTTGAAATGTTTCATCAGAAAATGGACTGTGGAACATTTTTTAATCCAGCTATAATTGGGATGAGTTCTTCCACAGCGTGTATTTATAGATGTACTTTGAGTGTGAGTGGTGTTCGATTATGATGACAGCTTTATGTGGATTGATTTTGTCTCCAGATAATTATCCAATGCCTCTTCACCCCTGAAAAAATAAAATCATCTTCGTAGAGCTGTTCCCATAGGAACTATTGAATGAGATTATGACTCAACCACTCATTCGTGACCTTGAAAAATAGAATGGGCTAGATAATTGAAGATTACTTACAATTCACGTCCAATTCCCGATTGCTTGCATCCACCGAACGGTGCTTGAGGGCAAATTGCGTCGTACTGATTGACCCTAAAAATGATTAATTATTCATATTAGGAAATTGATGATTGGATGAATAAATTTTTGGGGAAAACTTATCTCGAAGTGAAATTGACCAATCTGGTTTCACAATCTAAGAGTCTCGATAACTTCAACTAATGGTGGCTTGTCGACGTACCAAACATTCCCAGATTCAACAGCCTGAGCGAATTTGAGAGCCCTATTGATATCATTAGTGATAACTCCAGCGCTGAGACCATAGGTGGTATCATTGGCTCGTTTGATAACTTCCTCCATAGTATCAAACTTGAGAATCGACTGTACAGGTCCAAATATTTCCTCTCGCGCAATATTAATATTAATTAATATTAATATTAATTATTAATTTTAATTTTTCTTCGTTTTTCTCATTTTCAAATGAAGAGATATTTATGTTAAATAATATCAGTACAATATAATAATTTCTCTCAATGAAATCAGATCATGAAAATGCAATTTTTCGTCTTCATGATCCGATTTCATTGAGAGGAAATGAGAAAAATGCAGGGAGTGATGATCAGCAAGAAAATAACAGAAAACGATTTTTTGTTTTTCTGAAAAATTTCAAAACTGATTTTTTTCTTAAATGACGAAAAAATATCAATATGTTCCCTTTCTACGATCTAATTTCAGTGGAAGAAAGGGAAAAAAAACAGAGATACGTGATCAGCTAGAAAATAAAAATTTCGATTTTTCAATGTCTCCGGAGTTTTAAAATAGATAGGGGAGGGTGGGGTAAAACCGACACTTTAGACTTTGTTTAAATTAGTCATAACTCAGAAACAAATTGATCAATTCAGCTCAGTTTAGGCTCGTCACAAAGGAAAAGAATTGTTCTTGATATTAAAAAAATATATATTAAATTTTATCAACATTTCAACCCCTCATTAGCATTTTAAAAAAAGTCAAGTATCCGTTTTACCCCAACTTCCCCTATATTTTTTCAAATAATGGAAGAATACCCATCAATTCAATTGCTACCCTCACATTTTGACAGAATACATTAAAAAATTGCAAAGAATAAAAATCGGGGACGAAAATTTTTATCGGATTAATATAATGTAATGCTATCCACACCTTGTCACCCTCAGCGACTTGCCCAACAACAGTCTCCGTAGCTGGATTGATACTCGGGAAAGTCTTCCCACTCACAGCATCAACAAATTCATTGTTGATGAAAATCTTGGTGTATTTGATGACTGGATTACGGTTCACCATACTGATACCCTCGAAACACAGTCGCAGATAAGACTGGAATCGCAGTGGTCTCCTGCGCCTTTTATACACTTTCTACGTATCTATAATTTTTCCGCGGATGTTTGAAAAATCGCATCGAATGCAGAATCTTTGAAGAGTCAAGCGATAAACTGTTGTGATAGGCTTGCTTGGAGAAAACGGGAGTGACTGTCAAAAATTACTCATGTCATGATATCGTTGTATCTGCACTCGTGATAAACGCCGCGAAACGTGAGTGCAACTGCGATTAATCGAAGCAATAAAAAACTACACTGGATCGATAGGCACGTTACTCTGCAACTATTGAAGGATTTTATTGTTGTTATTGTTAATTATTTCGCTATCAGTTCAACGTAATGACAATGTCATTATCAATGGAGTTATTCTAGGACGGGCAGCAGAATAATTTCTAATTGTATGCAATAGAATGGAGAAATCTTTAGGAATTCGATATCTGCAGTAGTACGAAAGATGATGAATTTTTATTAATCACAGAAATTGATAACTGTTTAAAAAAGTAAAAACATCCACGCATATTTCAAAATGATTTATTTAAAGAAAAAATTGACATTCTTCACATTTATTTTTTCCAGTCTCAACGAGACACCGAGAGCTCCATCGTGAATTTGTTGACTGTTGTACCTTGGGTATAATTTTTTTTCAACTAAGATGATAACTTTATGTGGATTGATTTTGTCTCTAGATAATTCTCCAACGCCTCGGCACCCCTGAAATTTTTTTTTATGAAAGAACATTCTTTTCTATGAGCGTAATCAATTCAAAGAGTATAATTCGATCATTTACTCACGAGCTTGATAATACAATGTAATGAACAATCGAAAAATACTTACAATTCACGTCCAATTCCTGACTGTTTGTATCCTCCGAATGGTATATGAGGGCATAACGATGCGTACTGATTAACCCTGGAAACAATTGATTACGATGAATTAGAAATTGGGAAATAAATGACTGAACGAATGAATTCAGTGAACTCCAGATTTCATTTCCCTGCTGCGTATACGAATGAACTGATGATGGCGTGTCGACGTACCAAACATTGCCAGATTCAACAGCCTGAGAGAATTTGAGAGCCCTATTGATATCATTAGTGATAACTCCAGCGCCGAGACCATAAGTGGTGTCATTGGCTCGTTTGATAACTTCCTCCATAGTATCAAACTTGAGAATCGACTGTACAGGTCCAAATATTTCCTCTCGCGCAATTCTCATGTTGTCCTTCACATTGGAGAAAATCGTCGGCTGAAAAACAATTTTCATTGAAATTGTCAACATAACGAGAGGAATGGAAGACAATTTGTGCTCTTTGGGGTATGAATTTACCATAACGTAGTAGCCAACTTTTCCAAATCTCTCTCCACCAACTTCCAGAGTAGCTCCGTCCTCTTTCCCCGCTTTGAGGTAACTCAGCACCCTCTCGAATATCTCATCGTCAACCTGTGGTCCTTGCTCAGTTGCAGGATCAAAAGGATCCCCGAGTTTTCTTTTGAGTGTCAATGCCTTGGACTTCTTGACAAATTCATCATGGATTTTTGATTGAACAAAAACTCGCGAGGCTGCGATGCAAATTTGACCGGAGTTGGTGAAGATCGCGTCGTGAGCAATTTTAACAGCTTCATCAACTGTGAAAATGAAATGTAAACGTTAACTTTGTGACTCTGAAGGAGGATCAGGACAGGGAAGAAAAATTACCATTAGCATCATCGAAGATAACAAGAGGGCTCTTCCCGCCGAGCTCCAGAGTCACGCGTTTGAGATTTGTGTTGCCAGACGCTACCATAATCTTCTTACCAACCTTTCGAGAAGAAAAGAATGAAGGGAATGGTTAAAATTACTAGGCAAATTCCTTTGCCAACGTGAAAACGGAAGTACTCCTTGGACGGAATCACTCACCTCAACGGATCCTGTGAAAGCGACTTTCATAATGTCCGGATGTTCGGAGACAGCGGCCCCAGCAGTAGGTCCATACCCAGGAACGATGTTGATGACACCCGGTGGGAATCCAGCTTCCTTTATCAACGCCGCAACATGTAGCGTGCACAATGGCGTTTGTTCAGCCGGTTTAAGAACGACGGTACATCCAGCTGCTACTGCTGGGCCCAACTTGAAGGCAAGAAGAACGATCGGTCCATTCCAGGGTGTAATTTGTCCAACAACGCCTATTGGTTCCTTTCTGGTCATCACCACGCTGTTATCGTCTTGATGAAGAAAACACCACAATTTTTTATCATCTCGGATACCTACAATATCACAAGTGGCACCTTGGCCACCCCTTGATGATGATTGCACCTACCTGTTGCAGCTGTTTCGCCGTGAATTTTATCAGCCCAACCAGCGTAGTATCTCAGAATGCTTGAGGTCATTGTACACTCGCCGAAGGAATGGGTCCAGGGTTTGCCGTTCTCCAGCGTTTGGATACTCGCTATTTGGTCCGCGTCGCGATCGATCAGATCAGCTAGCTGAATGAAATTAATTTCGTCAATTGGGCATCTTTGGAATTTGAACGCTGGACTTACCTTGTTGAGAAGGATACCTCGGCCACTTGGGGGCATGCTCCTCCATTTTGACCCTCGTTCAAACGCTTTCTTCGCGGCCTCAACAGCTTTATTCACATCAGCCTAGATCCACCACAAACGGATTATTCCGACAGAAAACGGATGTCCAGATTTTTTGAAAAGTAGTTCAAGACCAATCGAAGGTTAAACAATTCCCGAATTGCTTTCGTCACGACATAGTCAACATATTTTTGCTAATGAATCAGCAATTTGCTTCCGAATGGAATTCCTGTGACGATGTATTTTGAATTGAATTGAATGATTCATTGATTTCAACATTGCCCTAACGTTAGTAGGCAACATTGCCTCAACGTTGGCAGCCAACATTGCCCTAACATACCCAAGAAGATTGTGAGGAGTGAGCGAAGCGAGCGGGGGGGGGGGCAACCCCACCCCGGGTTTGGCGAGCAAAGCGAGCAGAGGGCGAAGCCCCCCGGTAAAAAATAAAATGTTGAGAATGCTCAATAAAATGTGATTTATCTAAAATCATGATTTTGAACATATGAAATATTGTCGTTCGATATTTCGTCCCTCATACCTTGTCACCTTCAGCAACCTGTGCAACAACAGTTTCCGTAGCCGGATTGACGCTCGGAAAAGTCTTCCCACTCACCGCATCGACAAATTCATTGTTGATAAAAATCTTCGTATACTTAATGACCGGATTACGGTTCACCATGTTGACGGGTTTACGCCCTGTTTGAAATAAGACTGGAACCTCGAAGGTCTTCAGCTAGACTTTTATTACAGCAGCACTTCCTCCTGCTCTGTAATTCACTCGCGAATTGAGAAAAATGAAATCAACCGACTCTAGCCTGAGCGATAGTGCGTCGTGGTAGTGCCGTTCGACGGAAAACACTGAGACTATCACTTATTGCAAGTCATCGTCAACTATAAGCAATTGCAATCAGCAATTATCTCACTGCCAACATCACAGATTAGCCAAGTCATTGAGGTGGCTTATGAAAATGTGCTGACACATGCTGTTTACATCATAATTTGCGTGTGGAAAAACTCATTTGCGTTGATGTTCATGTTGGGTATTCAGCATGTCCAGGGCTGCCCCAATTTTTGGCCGATTCTGTTGGAGAATTCCGCGGTTTATCTGTGCATTGCTTCCGATGGAATTGATCAATAGAATTTTTTTTGTTAGGATCTCATTCTGTTGAGATATTTTGTACAGAAATTTCTCGACTAGAATTTTCTCAGCTTTTTTGTGAGATTTTTCAACTGAAAACAGGATTCCTATTGAAAATGTTTTAGTAGAATAAGTAGTATTGAAAAATGGTATTCTATTGATTTTTTATATAAAATATTTTATATTCAATAGTTCTATTGGAATTATTCCGGTGGCCTGGCGTAGTGGTTAAGGCCGTTGCCTCACAACGGATAGGTTCCAGGTTCGATTCCTGGCCGGGTAGAATGGTGAGATCTAACCATTTTTAAAGTCTTGATCAATCGCCATATAGTCTCATCAGACTCGAAGCGATATAAAATAAGCATAAAAAAAAAAAAAAAGTTCTATTGGAAGAAACACGCTGATAAGCTCCAGAATTTTTCAATAGAATTGGCCAAAAACGAATCGCTCATGTCATCATGTTCCCAAAAAAATTTTCTCAAATCGATCGAAGAGGTTTTGAATTCTATAAGGTTTTCCTCTGCGTATTTTCATCGATCTGAATTGAGCGTTTGAACGATTTCGTTCTTCATGTTTTTCCAATGGTTTCCAGTGAGCACGTTTTCAGCGTGAAAACCTGATAAATTGAAGGGGTTTGCATTAAATTCTTAGTTGAACGAATCTATCGAACCAGAATCGAAAGGATGAGTACCGAACGGACGATCATAGAGGAGGACGGATTCGGGGTGATTCCCATCATCACCGATGATAATAGGAACTTTGAAATTGTTAAGAGGTAATGGAGAAATTATTAATCCAGGAGAATCATTATAACGGAGTGGAATTCAATAAGATATACCTTGACTAATAAGACGAAAGCATCGGTGACGCTGATCACGTGGGGCGCCGGGATTCAGGCGATTCGAGTGCCCAATAATAGGGGAATTCTTGGTGATGTTGTGCTGGGGTTCGATGACATTGATGGTAAATAGAGATCATGATTGTAGTGTAATTATCGAAAAAGAGGATGATATTATCGTTGGAATTAAATTGTCTGTGGATTAATTTCTCGCCCGGGACAAAATTCTTATTTTGAGATTTCAAAGATCTTGAGGATATCCAAGTACTTTGGCTACCTTTTCTCCAGTGAAAGGCTTTTCTACTTTTACAATGATTTGACGAGGATCTTATTATTCAAATTTCCGCCATAAAAAATTATTTGTTCGGAATTAACAAATTTATTCATATTCAGAATTTAACCAGAAATCGATTTCTTGGTTAAAATAAAATAGGGAAATTGCTCATTTCCTTCGATCACGTATAATGCATTGTTTATTTCATATTATTAAAGTGAATAAGATTTCTTTTCAACTAATTTTGTCAAATTTTCAACTTAGTTGAATGTTATCATCATCATTATTCTTATTATCCCTTTCTTCTGTACAACCGATTGTCTTTGTTACGGTTCTATCTCTCCCTTCAGCCCTTCGATAAAATGTTAATAGAAAAATTATATTTAAACATACTTGAATGAAGTTGAAACATCACATTTGAAGAAACCATCAGAGAGCTCACTCTCAGGGAAATTCATGAAAAATTCGAAATTTTCAACAATCTTCATAAAAATCAAATCAACCAATATAGCTATCGTAATCATCTGTTAACTTCGACTGAATGGCATTAAAACAAACATTTTAAGCTATGATTGAATTCATTTGACGTATGATATTCAAAGATATCCCGGAAATTCTGATTTTCAAAAAATACACAATTTTTGCTAATTTTCAAATAAATCAGAATAACGGTTATTGCTATCGCCTTCATCTTCGAACTCGGTTAAAAGGACATCTAAACAAATTTTTGAAGCCATCATTCCATCAATTCAGAACAATTTTTTTAGTTATTGTGGGACAAGATATTTTCGAAAAAATTCGAAAATAAAAAAAAACAATTGATTAATTAAAATTCAACTAATGGTGATCGATAGGGCTCAACAATACGTACAAGCGAGGCCTAAAATTTCCATTTTCGGACTTTTTGGATCATACTGGGTCGATATAACACAACAAATCGAAAACTTGAATTTGCGCAATTATAAAGCTTCCATTCGGAAGCAAGAACAAGGTTTCCGAGAGTTTAAACAATTTCAATGATTTATTTGTAAACAACACGTAGATTATAAATAAATAATTGAAATTGTATAAAAAAATAAATAATTCTGTGCGAAATGTAATTTAAATGATGCTGAATATTCATGATTTTCTTTTCAAATTTTTCTTACGAAATTTAATTGCCAAATTTGATGATTGAAAAAGATTGAATCTATAGTGTAGTCTGTGCCAAACTGTAAAAGATCCTTGAATATCCTTAATTCATCACTCTATTGAGCAAAAAACGATCTTCAACGAAAACTTTTTTTTTTAATTTATTTTCAACGAAACCTTCAAATTTATTTTGAGGATACTGGAAAAATCGCCATATAGGGAGGACCCTGGGTCGCGTAACGAGACGACTATCCTCCGATATTCAATCCAGTCCTCAGGTCCGGGGTTTTAATCATGAATCCACTGGCTTCGACAACGTCAACTGGGACGGCTACATCCTCGGAAAACAAGTGGCGAGTTTCACCATGATTCAGTAATGATTTAATGAATATCATCACGATCTAATTGCACGATAGGTGATGTCATACGTGAGTAGAAATCACAAACTCCACCCGGGTGATCTGCTGACCCAGGTTAAATACAGCTGGAGTGATGACAACGAGCTTCTCGTTGACTTCAGTGCGACCTCCACTAGACCAACACCGGTGGACATTACCTCCTTCTGTCTGTTCAATCTCGCCGGGCATGTGAGGACAATCTCCGTTGTGAAATGAAACATGAAACAGTTCAATTTTAGGTTGAGGTTTTGAGGAACACGAGCACGAAAAAATTTTGTAGAAAAATCTAGCGAATTCGAGAGAATTCTATTGAATTTCTCTTTGACTTCTGTTAAACATTCGATTGGTTTTGGCGTTTTGTTGCCATGAAAATGTCCAATGGAAACGATTTTATGGGGAAAAAAGTAGAATGAATTAATGTCATGTTTCCATACAAATTTTTCTATTGGAACATTTTCTACTGAAATCCTTCAGCCTGATTTCTCTAAGTTTTTTCCGCTGTTTTTCTTCTCTTTCAGTGAAAAAATCAAACGAAAAAAGATGATTTGAGCGTAAGAATTTCTATAGAAAATGTAATAATAGAATAAGATTTATGGAAAAATCGATAAGTTGCGCAATTTTTTGATGAAATAGACCAGAAACAAATAAAAATTTCAATAGAAATCCGATAGAATTGTGTAGCCAATTCGCTAGATAATTTAATTGGATTCCTATTCGAATCAATTGAAGAATTTTGCAGCTTTACTGTGTTTTTTTTTTAGAAATCTTCTAAATGAACATTCTTCATTAAATTCATTTTTCTCTTTAGTTTTTAAATTTGAAAATGATATTTAAAAATTCCAGAGAAATATTGAGAGGTGTCACTGTCTTCCAAGGAAAAAATAACATTCTTTTCCCTGAAACACTGATGTCTGCATAATTTCTCATAATCTTAATTAATTTATCAATGATAATAATTAAATAATTAATAAATTATTCAATTAATTCATTCAATTAACTGATTAATTATTTAATCAATTAATTTTGAACTCAATTTTCCATAATTATTTCATAAAATAAAATTGACTGATCTCATTTCACCGCTTCACTCTTGACTTTTGTCCCTGACAATGTGTTTTCAATTGCGATCATCAATAGGGTATGGGCCCCGAAGAGCTGAACAAACATGTCGTCTCCATCAATGCCGACAAATGGCTGCATTCTGATGTGAGAACGAAATTACCCAGTGGAGCCATTCGCTCTGTTCGCAAGACGAGATTTGATCTCCGAAATCCTACAGAGCTGAATGTGAAGAGGTTGGAGCGTATTCCAGGAGGCGGATACGATCATTTTTTCTGCGTCAATGCTCCGAGTATTTTGTGCTACAGATTCCACGCCAGGTGAATTTTTAATGCCAAAATGAATAGGACTTCTTACGCTAAGTTGAAGACAAGAGAATGCACTGTCGGAGGTTTTATAATTTTCTAGAGATTACTCAAATTTTCTAGAAATTTCTAGGTTTGTACCCTCGGACTTCCCTTCGATCCCTCGATTTGCCCACAATTTTCGAAACTTTCTGAGAACAAAACCCTTAAATATTCCTGCATATTTAAAAATAAAGAAAGGCCGTGACTATTCGCACCATTGCGTGAATCACTCCCGTACACTCCATACACTCCACGCATGCGTGAAGTTTGTGTGTTTCACGCAGCCGAATTTTCATACTGCTGTGTATTTCACGCAGTTGAAGTTTCAAACTACTGTGTGTTTCACGCAGTTGAAGTTTCATACTACTGTGTGTTTCACGCAGTTAAAGTTTCATACTACTGTGGGTTTCACGCAGTTATATTTTTATACATCAGGATTGCGTTTTTCCACTTCCTAGGCCTTATACAAGATGAATT